CCTTCTTATAGTACAAGATACTCATTGATTTGATAGTAATAATACAATCAACATCATTCTATTGATATCTGTTAAATATACATTTCCAATAAATCACTATTAATCACTAAGTAGATGTATAGAAGAGGCAACATAGATTGCTTAGTACTTCTCTTGGTACAATAACATGAACAATACAAGATCAATTAATAGCTAGCTCATTATCACTAAATCAAAAGAAAGAAGATGTAACCTCGATCACTATATCTAAAAAACAAATACTTGCACCTTCAAGACATCTTTTTTTCTATACTAATCACTAATAAAAATGATAATTTGAATACTTAAGTGGCTACAAGAATAAGCAAGAATAAAAAGTAGAATAATTGCTTGTTGGTTGAATAGACACTACTAATATTCTCATTCTAGACCAAATTTGAGAAGAGATTTTGGCATTATTCATCTAACATTTATCCACTCAGATTTAAGTTTTGAGCAAGTAATATAATTATTTATCCTTCCTATTAGGATTTCATTCAACAAATAGTTTTGAGTATGTGCTTGATGGACCAACATGTTAGTTTATTTTCATTGAGTTTACATATTACTTAAAGCATATGTATTCTTTATTAAGACAAGTGAATATAATGTCAGATCACACTGAGTTTAATTTTTAATATATATCCTTGTCCTAGTTAACCAATATCTATTGCCTTTGCTTGCACAATTTCAACTCTATTCAAAAATATCTGCCCATTATCTACTCCCCCTATGTCATCCTACCCTCTGCTTATCTATTGATAATGAGGCTTGTCTCCCTATCTTTGATGGCATGGTAGTAAGCCTTAATTCTAGCCACCATTGGCTTAGATTAGGAATATATGTTATATATGGAGGATATATTTTAATAACATATGTTTTTGACTAATGAAAAGATATTTTATAATAAAAAAATATATTTTGACTATAATATAACAATGATTACAATGTTTATAAAAAATAGTTTTATATTAGTATTATATATAAAAAAAATGTTGAATAAAATTAATCTTTTATTAAATTAATCCATCCATCATCACTAATCAACACAAGGATTGTTTAAATCTTCTTCATCATAAAATCTATTATTTGTGTTTGGATTAATAAAATCACGGTTTTTTTATAAATATAATCTATACAATCATGAAAATATGATTGGTAACAATATTCATCAATAGCTACTATTAAAAAATTTGAAAGTATAAAAGAGATGAAAGATAATATAGATACATTTGATATAGTCAAGGATATGTTGTTTGCAAACATTGCTCTAACAAGGATTGCATTGATTTTAAGTGTAATAGAAGAAGAATTTATTATGAACCAAATAATCATATTTGTCAATAAAATAGTGAAAGTCAATTGTAGGGTAGTACACAATAGCACTTGACAGTTTGAAATACTTTTCATATTCATTGACTTCTTTCTTTTCTTTCATATCATTTATTTACTTGGTGTTTGCAACCAACAAAGAAAAAAATATCACAATTATTTGCTACAAGAATTCCACCTAAAAATGTTGTTATTGTCTCATAAGAGAGTGATTTTAATAGCAAAGTTATTCCTTGTACTATTTATAATGAGTGGCAAAGATTCCATCATATTGCACTTGTTGGTTGTTCACCTAATCTATGTTTTATAAAACTTTACATATTGCTAAATATCACTTTATTTATCAATGTGATAAAGACAATGATGTAACTTTTCTATTTTTTGCACATTTCAATTAAGTTGGACTTACAAAAAGGTACATTTCTTCTATCTTTATCAATTATACATACAAAACAAATAGATTTAAAATGCCTATGTTGAATATTGTGGAAATCACAAGTTTTAATACCTCTTTTATCATTACTATTGTTTTTCTCCAAAATGAAACAAAACTTTTTTTTTGTTGGACATTAATCCAATTTCTTCAATTACATAGAGATATTTAACTTGTAAGCATTGGTGATGAAAAATATTTTTCATTAATAAATATCATTAGACTAATATTTTTCACTTCAAATATCTTACTTTTCATTTGGCATATTTAAAAAAAAAAAAATGTGTTAGAAAATTATAAGAAGTATTTCTCAAGCAAGACAAAAATATGATGGTCTTCATTTCTTATAGATTAGACGATTGTATTTAGTATTCTTTTTCAAGAGCTTTTTGATCTGAAATGGTCTAATCTTTGCAACAAGTATATTTTTATTATTACTCATGTAGTTGTTGTATACTTACAAAATATTTGGATACCATACAAAAAACGATTTGTTAAAGCATGGACAAATAATTTCCTTCATATTGGAACTATTACTACATCACAAGTAGAAGGTCAACATTCAAATTTGAAAACATATTTAAAAGTATCTACCAAAGACATTTAAGAAGTGTAAATTTCTCTCTTTTATTTTTTTAAAAATTCAACAAGAGAAATCAATGCTTAAGAAAATTCAAAATAAACTTGTGTATCTCATCAATACAATATTGGTTTTTTTTACCAATATTGTAAAATATATTTCTCTATATGCTCTTAATCTTGTTTTTGAACAATATAAATATTCAAGAGCAATAATCAATGATAAAAAATTCTTCCTATACAAAGACAATTACAAACACATTTAATCTTCCATATAAGCATCATATTTGAAGTTTACTAAGAAATGGTGGTGTTTTGATAATTATAGATTTTTATCATTAATATTATTTGGTAAATAATTTTAAATTATTAATTACAATATTACTATAAATTTAACTTTCTTTTGAAGTTTTTTTCCATATCTATGATTTTGTTAATTTATATTTAATCAAATACTTTTCCACCAATAAGAGAAAGTGTGTGATCTATTATTAGAGCTTGCAACAATTACTATAAGGTTAGAAAAGTGGAGAATAAGTTGTCCAAAAGAAAGGCCACATGGAGCAAGGAACATATCAAGAAGTGAGATGCATGTTGAGACATCAACATAATGCTCTCCCTCATAGTTTGAAATTATTGAAGCAGCAACAACAATACATCTTTGCAAAAACTACAGATGTATTAAACATAATATTTATACATGTCCTACAAAAGTGACTTTTTTTTCGTATTTATTGATAAGTGGATAAAAAATATATTCTAATTTATAAATGTAATCTGCTAAAGATGATTTATATAAAAATAGAGGTTTGTATATTATTTTAATAATTTAGATTATAATTTATTTAAATTATAGTATTAATGACAAAAGTGTATATTAAAGGCATGTGTATAATGGATGTCAAAATGCAATGTGCACTACAAACATGGTTTCTACCATCATGAATTAATTTAGCTTGAAGAAATGCAAACTTGTAAAATAATATCATTACCAAAAGAATTTATTTTAGTTAATTACATCAATTCTATTCTATGCAATGTTACATATTTCTATCAGTTAATCGATAAATTAATATTTTATAAGACTAGATATTTCTTATGTAGTCAGCAAAATGAGTAGTTTTATGTTTCAAGCTTAAGAAGTTTACTTAGAAGTAGCTAAACATATTTTACAATATATCAAGCATACTTTGAATTATAGGATCTTTGATCAAAAGAAACATGATTGTTTAGCTAAATGATATACAAATGTTGATTGGAGATCATATTTAATCAAATATCAATCTATGGAAATGTATATTTTTACATTAAGAAGAGGATCAATGAGTTGGCAAAGTAAATAACAATTGACCATTTCAAGATCTTCAACATCCAAATATTCAGCTCTGAGTGATGGTGTACATGAGATAGTTTTACTATAGAGACTTCTTTGTAAATTATGGATTAAGAATGTTACAAGCATTCTTCTTCATTGCAAAAATAAAGAAATAGTTTTTGAATTAAAATATTTTATTACAAACATCATAAATGTATACTGTGACAATCAAGATGTAATCAAACTAGCACAAAATCCAATTTTTCATGCAATGACAAAACATATAAAAATTCTCCATCATATTCCACATGTTTACACAAAATGGTTGTTTATTATTATATATTTATATTAAAAACTAAATGAAAATATTAATCTTAAGTAAAAAGTATTAAAATTGATTACTAAAAATATATGTTTAAAATAAATTTTATTTTGAATTTTAATTTCTAAAATTATAAATAGAAATCTTATTTTGAAAAGATTTTAATATGATTTATATTTTATTATGATAAAATAATAACTAAACTGTTGTATACATATTATTTTTATACTTTAAAATAATTCTTCCAATAATTTATTATAATTTTTTTAGATTATGTATTTATTTATTTGAAAAACTTAATGCTGGTTGTTTCTATTTCATCTACATTTTATCTTCTAATATAGAATTTTTTTTTATTTATAGTTTTTCTTTCATTTGCACCACTTCATTTCTAATTCTATACAATTATAAATTTGTGCCTAAATATGATGTAATAATTATACAACCAATTATAATGGTTGTTGAAAATATCCCAAAAAATTCATTATTACCATTATTATAGCAACTATGACTATAACAATTTAATTGAATGTCTTTATTATCATCAAAGTTAATGGTCTATAATGAAATTATCAAATTGGGATATTAAGAATCTTTCAAAACTTCATAAATATAAACAATAGCATCAAATCACAAGACGAGTCCTTAACTAAGCAGAAGGGTCAGTTGTGTAAGTTACCTCCACAGAAAATCAAGTAAGCTGTCACACATTGTAATCTGAAGCTAAGGTTTTCATTGCTTCACAAGTTCATCAGCATTGCACCCATTGAGCCAAACTTTTGTGCTACTCGTAGCAGCAGCTAAGTCATGGATCTAGGAGATCCACGTCGATGAGCAATACCACATTAATATTGTGAAGTTAAGAAGAATCCAATCACGCATCACAAGCCTTCCAGAGAACAAAGGCACACACTCAAACACACACACAATACCCACAAGTGGAAAATTATACTCCACTACAACAGTGCTGACAAATTTCACGATATCTGACATGCTGAGAATTATAGTGGTGAAAGCAAGCCCAGTAGACTGGGTCTCCCAGTTGAAGAAAATCAACTCTCATTCGAACAGAAAAGAAAAAAATAAGAAAAAAATCAAAAGCAATTGTATTAAGCTATATATTTGAAGCTATAATGTTGGTATTATTTTGAAACAAATGGATCTGCTCAAAGAGACGCACATACTAGTGCAGTTTCTCATGCGCTATGCTAAAGCAAAATGTTAATGAACCAATACTTGAATGCAACCGAATCGAGGTTTCCTGAGAGTAATTGGACTTGATCAACCTGGATTTGCTTCTCTTAGTGAAGAGGAGGGTTGGCGGTGTTTATAAAATGGGCGAGTGCGCATCGTGAACCACAAGGTGAGTGTGGCACTCAGAGCGCACAATAAGGCGAGAACAAGGAGGGAGGAGCCGAAGCACCGGGTGCCCATGCATGTGTTCTCTGCAACTGGGATCGGTGAGTGGCTTCTGTAGACAGCGGCTTCTTTGTCGTATAGAACACCAACGATCTTAGCGGACAGGAAATAGGCCCCCAGTGGAGCACCCAGTGAATTAATCTTGTATAAAGTCGCAAAATGCTGAAGGCCAAACACTTCAGCGAGTATAGGAGGTTGGATGCTCCAATGGGAACCATACGCCATGCCTACCATACAGGATCCGACGTAGAGGAATGATACTCCTGCGTACCCAAAACGTTGAGTGTCAAACAGCGAACATAAGAAGCTAACCTATCTAGATACAGTACACTTGTATCAACAAATTGGCACAGAATGAAATGTACAACATGGAGAGACTGAGGAGAGAATTATGGGCTTGAAAATGGAAGCATGTTTGAACTCACGTCCTGTGGAGAGAAGAAGGCAGCAAGTGCTCATTAGGAATTGCGCCATGAGCAAACAAACTGGGCGTGGATACCCTCTTTCTAAAAGAAGATCTGAACCGTAGCTGCATTGACATACAATGGTGACCAAGTCATATGAAGAACTCATTGTAGGTATTTCAACAAATGGACAAGGAAATTCACCATTATACAAATGTCACAAGGAGGAGACTTCCTTGAGGATGACGATGATATGACCATGAACGTACCCTCCCAGTAGGCGGCCAAAACAGCTCCAAATGCTGATGAGCCCCACGTATACGACCACTTCGGTTTCTCCTAGTGCCTGTCCAATCTGTGAAAAAGAAAAGAAAAGAAGTTACTGAAGCATCAGCATTTATGATATTTGTTGACATGATAGTTGTTTCAGTTTGCAAAAGATACCTGCGACAAGAACGGTTTTAAGGACTGTAATTTAAATAATGACCTGAGCAAAGTTGTTGATGATGGTCAGGCCAGTGCCGCCGCCAACAGTGACCACCAACGTTATCAACCTGAAGCACTCATGCAGACACTGGTCAACAAGCTCCCATGACTGATGATCATATTTCTAGGCTCAAGCCTGAATTCTGTAATCAATTCGGGAAGATTTTAAAAAAACGTTGCAATTCATGCGTAGTAGAGATTCTTTGGGTCAAAGGCTCCCACCAGAAATCAATGCCAAGCAAGCTTGTCGCTAACGAGGCTTCATGAAGTTTCTCTGTGCGGAGAGCTTCCATTTTGTTACGCTTAGAGACCACAATGTCATCATCACTTTCCACATCAGATGAGCTTTTTAAAGCGGCCAACTCCTCCCCCTCGTAGATATCGTCAGGCTCAGGTTGGAAAGACTTGTTCTTGTACATGGACCCTCGTCTTGATAACTCTTTGAGACTGATTCCTTCCTCAACATCATCACTATGGTTCCAGCTTATGTACAAGGATATCAAATCCACTGGTCTTCGTATAAGCTATCATCGCAAAACATTATTTCAAGGGTAATTAAGCACAGTTGTTTCCGAAAAAAAACTTTCACACAACTTGCATACAAATAATCATCCTGATATAGTAGTCTCGAAATGATTGACATTAATACAGAGGTTTTATACGGGTTACAAACTTGAGCTAGAAAAGAATCCTCACCGGAACAATGAACATAATCGAAGCGAGACCAAGCATGATCGTCAAGAAGAACGCAAGTAGCGGTGTTCCCGGTTGTAAAAGAGCCTGCAATCGCAGAGTTTGTCAGAAATTCAAGGAGCATCCTTACATGGCTTCAAACAATACCAGTTAAATCTGTCTCAAGTCAATTGCTAGGACTGAACTTTACCCCTCACAATATACGACAAACAAGAAATTTGTATCTTGATTGTGTGCACCATGGCCCGCCTTAATAAAAACAAACCACTTAACGTGATTAGATTCGAGTTTTACCTTGATAAAGATGACGAGCATGAGAAAGATTCCGAGAAAAATCAGCAGCCCCTGCACCCAGAAAAAGGATCAGCATTTTATTGAATAACTTGAATCTACCCAAAGTGATTACACCGAGGAAAGACTTCAGAAACTAGGACATCTGGATGAATCGAGGTGTTGTATACTTACGTAAGTGAGATGAAATCGTTGCTTGACATCCTCAGCATCTTGAACATGACCCTCAGAAGGAAAAGGTCTGGTTAGATATGCAAGAGCAAAGCCAGCAATTGATGGCGCAAGAGCAACTAACAGGAGAAACCGGTCGACATCTGGCGCCATAAATACCTCATAAATCTGGGTGCGATACATGAGTTAGATAACCACCGATGTTCACAGCAAGGTAATGCACCAGACATATTCCAAGTGATACCATCTGGTGAAATCCAGGAATTTTCGCTACAAGGTAGGCATGAAAACTGATACGCAACTACACACATGGACGATTACTGAAAAAAAGGAAAAGAGAAATATAAAAATAAAAGCAAGAAGTTCGAGTCTCTGGTGACAGTAAACAAAACATTAGAACCGTGATTAATCTATGTAAGGCAATCCAATACTTTCTCTTAGAGGAGATATACCAGGACGAACATGGCGCCACTCAATCCCACTTGTGCTTTCAGGATGCCCATAGCTGTCCCTCGGTGGTCACCAAAGCTTTCCAAGCTGTACAAGTACACAAACTATTAGATGAGCTGGAAAAGAATAGGGGAAAAGATTAACACATCCAAACAGCAACAGTGGCCATAACCGTGAGGAGACGAAGTATTCAGAAATAGCTAATCGTTCTGATGCAACAAACAGGTTGACTATTATTAATTTCCATTATGTCTTCAATATTTCAATGGCACATAAAGTCCAACCTGGTTGCTGTTGTGCCTCAAGTAGAACTTGCTTTATATCCTGAAAATGCGAGGTGATTAGCCTCAAAGCTCCGATACAGAATCATTAATTTCCCTAAAGCTTGCGATAACATTCGTCTGAGACTCAACAAATTGGCAAATTGCCAACAGCGATGAGGAGGATGCTTACGTTGTTATGATGCAAGCAGTATCTACGTAAATGTCCCCACCATTACCGAGAGTGAAATAGATACACAGCTACCTTCCCAAACCAACATGCACCATTTCTTGGTTAGTTTTCGAACTTAAAACCAAGTGCCTTCACTCCCTTCCATGAACGACACATCTAATATGTGTTGATTGGTTTGAAATTTCTGGTCACCATGAACTGAAGTGAATCATATCCATACTGTTGGAAAAGGAACCAAAATTGTTGCATATTGAAATCCTCTGTTCTATATCAACTCAACACAAGCGCAAACAAAAATCAAGACTCCGGAAGCCGACACTTACAAGCCAAAATGACGGTGCCACAGCTCCAATGAGGGTCATCCAAACCTGAACACACATACTTCATCTTTTGACGCAATGTTCGATTGAAATAACAAAATGTGAAAGTCTTTCTTGTGTGGACAGAGTTAATATGCAAACCAGAATAGTTATACGTTTGAAGCATATACCGACAGTTAACATTCTACCAAGACACCGATTCAAAACAAGAATCGCCTCCGCCCTGCACTCTCTTATTCCAAAAGAAACAAAATGGGAGCATGTTTGGCAGCAGGCACCAACTAAAAGAAAATAAAAGATTCGTGACTAGCATTTGCAAAGAATTAGAACCATACCATGCTGTAACCAAATAAGTGAAAAAAGGAGCCGATGAAAACGGTGACCCAAGGAGGGTAATAGTTGTAAAAGAATCCCGAGAATAGACCTAGAACAGATCCAAAGTCCTTTGCGGCACCTACATCGTCCGTTTGCTCTTGTGTGTAGTGAAGAACATCTTTCAGGTGTCCACTATAAACTGCATACGTGTACGTGAGGCCCCCACAAGCCTGTAGTCGAAAACGCATGAAGCAGTTTAATTACAGACCCAAAATTGTAAACCAATCAACAAGTTCACTTGTTACCAAGCCCAAAATCTCACGCTGCACGCGTTTGTTTCTTCTGAGGAATGAATTTCGAGGTGAAAGATCCTCTAATTTACTTCTTTTTTTTCTTTTTTGTTCCTCACCATAATGACCATGTTGGAAGAGAGGCCCAGCCACCGATCCATTCGGGGCACACACGTCCTTGGTTGTGAATCCATGTCGAACTGCAGAGCATTCAACTCAACCATATGTAACCAAATTTGAAGACAAGACTGAAAACGATGAACAATTGCAATGCCGAATTGATGATTATGTAGATGTGGTGCAAGGAGAATCAATCCCTGTAAACTTTACTGAGAGAGAAAGATGATTACCGCAATTTGATAATCGTGCAAAGAAAGTTGCGCTACCACATATTTGTGCTAGCTGTAAAGCTAAGATTCAACCAGTGAACCCTATAAGGTAATAATTCACATCTGCACAACATTCGACTAGGTGTCAGCAACGCCAAAGAGTCCGACCTTAGGGACCAGTTTGATAGAACACGTGAATAAATTAACCCCAGCATTTCACAGATTTCTTAACCGAAGTTAATAAGGCTAGTTGAGTAATAAAGATTATATCTAATCCTTGTCTGAAAGCGGCGATCTGAACCTCACGGAATGGAACGAAAACTATCTTCCAGAAAAAGCAGAGGTCTGAAGTTCACAGTGACGAAGCTTACGCTGCTAGTTTCAGCTGGAGAAGCTTGATCTAGGTGTTCACTGCATCGATTCTCCCCTGGCCTAACATAGCACAAAGGAGATCTGGCCACCACAGCTGAAAAGATCAAAGTTGAAGCGGGGAAAAAATGCTTGTGTTCATGTCCCCCTCCTCACCATTGCAAATCCTCTACATCCGCTGTCATATCTGAATCCTCCTCGCATCTAGCTTCTAAAACTAACTCCCATCTTCGAAGCGCATTGATGAAAATGTTAACAAAAACTTCAGTTCCTGCAATCAGCCGACACCTCTCACTGTAGCTGACTAAAACTTGCTCATCGTCTCTTCCTCGTGTACATTGCACGTGATCGGATGCAATCAGTGATATGTCAGCACTATGTTATCGCCCCTGGAGATCACTACCAGTCCCGAAATGTCGGTCCAGCAGCAACTCACAACACCCCACGACTGGATACCCATCAACCCTAATGGAACCCACGGAGATAACACTTCGACGAAAGACCGCCACTGTTGACTTCGGACTGGAGGATCTGCCATGGTCTCTCATTCAGGGACTCTATCAGACCACCCACCTATCAAATCGTGCTGCCACCTTTAGCATTGCAGTCGCCAACTTGAAACATCCTACGATAAAATTTAAAAAATTAAAAAATTAAAAATTAAAACCAGTAGTGGATAGCTTCATGTAGCTTCACCAGATAGAAAAAAGCTGTCAGTTAGATCAGCCAGATTTGGAGTAGTCTAATAGAAGCATTCGCTAAAAGAGAGAAGTCTTCAAACTGCTCACTGAAGCATCACAGCGCAAGTGTAAAGTCTGGGATTGATACCCTGATTTCGGAACCTAACAGGTGACGAATTGATTTCTGGGTTTCGACGAATATTTTACAACCGGGACCATCCTCTTCCTGACTTCCAGACGCCAGTGACGAAGGTGGTGCATGGCCACTTGGCGATAGTACACAGTGGCCATGACATTTGTCGCTTTGCTTCCTCGTCTAGCCGATTACTCAAACAAAAACCGCGGGGGCTCGTGAATTGTTTCCAACATTTAAGTTATCATGAATATGCGAGAGACATACTTTAGTTCTGTGCATCTTTGGTCGCGCCTGTGATTTCCTACTTTTGGGTTGAATTTTCTGTTGATGGTTTCATAAGTTGTAACATTGTTGTTTTGGGACAAAGATTGACCTCAGATGAGTTTGCTGCTACCGCTACCGGATCTGCGTGTGTGTTGAAACCCTTTCCGTGTGAAGCTCCATCGACAATTTCCTACCTGGGAGAATAGGTTAAGAAGTTTGTTGAATTTGAATAATCGCAGATCGTAGGTAAGGCGTGCATCTTGTTGTGGGAGATTATTCACACAATTCTTTTGATTTGTCATAGTATAGTAAAGGCTTTCACAAGGTTCTAACACACATCACCATACTTTTAGAGTCGATCGTTGAGGGTTTAGTTTTGGGGTAAATTGATCACGACGATCCGTTCCTCAAGTTAGGGCAGAACCTCCAGCACCCCATCCCATTCTGTGGACGAAAGCCTAGAGTAATGACAACAAAATTATCGGTGTGCAGACAGGAGAAAGTTCACAGCATGAAGCTACTCCATGCACCGCAAACTGGGCACATGTTCAGCGTTGTGGCAGGCCCCAAAAACACTCACTTCTCACAAAAGGGGAAAGTTAGCGTTGCGGATTTCGGCGCAAGATGGGTTCCAGCTGCAGCTCCGTTTGGGGATGCCAGTTGCTCGCTTCATGGGACGCCGAGTGCTAGCAAATTTCTTGGTTCTGTCAGTGCCATTAGAATTTGGGGTTTGAAGAGTGAGAATAGAGCTGGACAGAATGGCGCACGTTACGCATGGGCCAAACCCGAAGGATCCTCTGAAAAATCTGAGGCATGAACTTCTCCACCATTTTCATATGTTGTTGTCGTTTAGCTATCTCGTTGTTTAAGTTGGAAGAAGTGATTCCTGGTTAACTCTCAAGTGCCGGCTAACGTAATGAGAAGTTCAGACCCTAAGACATTTGTGACAGGCTGTGACAAAAATGTGAATGCACGGTTACGTATACATCGTCATGAGAATGCACTGAAGGTGACGATGTGGCAGCTGGAGCAAGGATTTTGTTAGGATGAGCTTAACTTTTGCTGTTTCTGGCTTCAGTATGTCCAGAACACGAAGGCGGAATCAGCCTCAAACCTAGACGACTCCCAGGAGCCATTCCGAGACGCCGTAGAGTCAGGGCAATCGATCGGGGAAGCAACAACCCAGTTGCAATTTGAAGCAAAGGAGGAGAAGGAGGCAGGTGAAGCTATCCGCGACAAGAGTGAGGAACTTTTCAAGCAGTCGACAACCAACGGTAAGCAATCAGTGCACGCAATCAGCCACCCGGTCGATAAGTTCTACTCGGAAAACATCCGCCCAAACCAGTTCCGTCACAGAAACGCATCAAGTTTGTAGGGGTTAATGCGTGTGTCAGCTACTGTTGTTTCATTGCATTACGTGCGCACTTGCAGGCAACTCCGAGGTGGGCAAGTGCAAGTCTCCGGAGCATCAAGATCCAAAGGCCGAAGTCTCCAGTGAAATATGGGCCGAGAAAGACCCGAATGAGGAGAACGCCACCTCGCACTCCTTCCTCGACGATGAGAAGAAAGTGGACTTTCATGGTGAAGAAGATAAGTCGGTTCTGGGCATCGGTGGGGAGAGAGTGGAGAGTTCCTGAATTGCCGAATCTACTACAACTCCGCTAAACAGCTCACCAACCCATCGGCGGACCCAGCGGCCGTGCTCGTTGTCACCGCCGCGCCTTACCGCGCGGCCGCGGTAGGGTCGGGAACGTGGGCTGTTCCCAATGGAACCGTATGGAGACTCCGGGTGAGAACTCAGGGTGAGAACTCAGGGTGAGAACTTAGGCATGGCCCGCAAAAAGGGGATGAGAGACCGGTCTCAGGATTTGGTGCAATGGGGTTGCTGGTTAGTTGAACAAGGTTTGAATGGAATTAGAGGGCTCTTGATGATAATATAGGGGGGAATAATGGACTCAGTCAAGGGGGGTGGGGGTTGCAAATGTTGATACAGCTTTGGCAAAGTCACAGCAGTACAGGCACAAACCCTTGATTTTGATACCTGTTATATGAATGTTTTCATCACAACTCTGCTCCTTTCTTCTTTTTTAATTATGAATGAATGCTGTCTAATCAGAAATTAATGAAATAGTAAAAATAAAAGCCTCCCGATGTCTGGATTTTGAGAGTGATGAGAGTAAATATTTTTTATGATTGACAGCCAAATTAATAGTCACTATGCACCTTTTATCTTTTGAATTGTTTTTATTTGCAGAATGTTTGAGTTTTTAAACACGTTTATATCCATTCCTATGGCCAAGATGTTTGATTGTATTTACTTGGTGATTTTTAATGTTACCAATAAGTATTAGCAGTCTTCAAACTTTCAAGCTGTTTTTGAATCAAAATTTTAATCAAACTCAGTAGATAAAAATCAATAGTGTGCAATTAAAAGTATATGCCTCTAGAGATCTGGTCCACTGAATATTTTTTATTAGATTTCAAGTGGAAACGTGACAACACCCAAAAGGAAATTTGGCAAAATAAATTAGTAATTTAAAAACTAGGTCTCAACAACAAATAAATGAATCATAAATATTGCATTCAACCCTAAGAAGTATTGCACTTCTATGCAATAATACTTCAATACTCCATTTTTGGGTTTAAAAGATTCAAATGATTAATTATCTTTATTTTTATATTATAATTTAAATTATTTTTTTTACATCTACAAAGGTATTATTATAATTTTCATCAACATATTTGCATATTTGTTTATAAAATATAAATTTAGGGAGTTGTTAAACCTACACCTCCTTTCCAACTCATGATTTGTTTTTATACAAGTTCTATGTCTCCCACCCTGTTTCCATCTTCCATCTCCATTCTCATATCCCAACTCCATTGTTTTCCCCTCTTCCTTTGGTCATAGCACTACCAAGAATTAATGGTATGCATATGTATGTTTAAGTATATGTAACTATACATTTTTTAATTTGGATATTTGATTTACTCATAATTTACCTTAATGAGTAATAAGTTCTTATTTATTTATTTATTTAAATTATTTAGATGTTTTAACCAAAGATAACATTTTAACCACACAAAATTCAAGTAGAGATAATGTGTATGGTTTTGAATGGAACATCAAGTAAAAACCATGCAAATGGTTTTAAACAATCTAATGGTACTAGAGTAAAGACCATGTGAATGGTCTTGAAAGAACAACCATAGCCAAGTAAAGACCATGTATGTGATCTTGAAAGATGCAATTGAATCTCAAATTCATTAAACTTCAATGAATTAATCTTTTCTCCTTTCCTTTGAATTTGTTGTTGCACTTGCCTTGGTATTATTATTAATTCTGACTACTACTAAATAAAATACACATACATAATAAATAAATAAATAAATAAAACCAAGTAAACATCATGTAAATGATCTTGAATTACTCAAGGTGGATTAAATAAGATTAATTAATATTGGTAATCATTGCTTGGAAGGCATTATGTTAAATTGAACTACAAACACCAACATTTAAGTTAACTTAGCAATTGCACAATTGGGAGTGTTTCTATTCTACCTCTTGAACCTGTTGTACAACATTTGTTCCATATAGTGGTGGAAGTTGGGCTCACATGGGGCCCTTATGCATCTTACTTATTCCAAGAGAATCAACTCTAGGAAGGATCACAACTCAAAGCTCCATTAGATCTTCTTTTACTACAAATAACATTACTTTTCTCATTTGTAAGTCCTTTCCATAAATTGTAGCACACAAGTACATCTGATGTTCTTACATCTATCCTTAGTTCTTGGGCTACTATAATGGTTCTTATCGTACCATTCCCTTCTGTGATGACTTGATTGTTATCCTAATTATGCTTAACCTTGGCATCTTGTAGCCATGGTCTACCAAGCAATAGAAAGTATTGTGATTTCAACTAGGCATAGGAAGTCCCAACTTCTTAACCTTTGTTTTGGTTGTAAGATTGACATTAGATCCTTCATCTAAGAGTATATCATCTGCTAGGATTTTTAGTTGATATAATTGGCATATGTCTGTCTATTGCCACTTTGGTCATCAATGGATCTTTGTGCAAATTTGTCACTCTTAAGGCCATCAAACTACCAGTCTCTAAGTATTTTTTGATGTGATCATATACTCTGGAGGTGATGTGCATAAGTTTTGCTAATGTTAGAGTTAACTTTGATGAAAACAACTGAGTACCTATTTTTTCCTATATAATCTCTTTGCTGCCAATTCTAGGAGCAACTGATTCTTCTATATTCTTATCTTTGTTACCTAACTACTCTACTTGTAGAAGGAGTGCTTCTAAGTTCCATTCAAATGTTAAGGTGGTTGATGTTAGTTGACTTCTTTTTTCACTTGCTTGAAGTTGTTGTACGAACTATATCATGTCATTTGTGTGCTTTTTCTCTTTCTTCGAATTGTTCTTGGACTTTTCTTTGCTAATTTCCTTGTCAACATCAATCTATGATGGTAGTGGATTACTAGTCTTGCTTCTAGTGCTTATTGATACATCATCCAATTCTTAAATTACTGCTCCAACATATACCTCTTCTAATTCCATTGTGCATGTCAATGTCGATTTCTCCTATGCATCTTTTTTTTTAAGCAATCATCTGTTTAAATTCCTTATCATGCACCATGGGGCATTGATATGCCACTTGTTCTAATGATTTGCACAGAAAGCAGGAAAACCAAGGCTTCTGTCCTTCTTTTGCTGACTCCATGTGTTCAACTAGGATTCTATGGAGTAAGCCTGCAACAGCTAATTGTAGATGGGGTAATAACCTTGCTCTGAAATTGCTTAGCAAGATTTTCTTTTTTGTAGCTGGTTCTCTAAAATTCCTAAATAGCTTGTTCATCCTTGAATAAAAATCTTCTATTTTCTCATTTTGTTTTTGTTTATGATCTCTGAAGGATATATAAGTCGGTTTGTCATTTTGGATTGTGGTAAACCTCTTACAAAAATCCTTGAGCACCTCACTTAACATGCAATGCAGATGGTCAGTCAAATAATCATCATATCAATCAGATTATTATTATTTTTTTTTTTTTCTCAAAGTATATCCAAATAGGATTAAATTATCTTCTTCATTTGTCTCTCTGTTTAATTTCAAAGCACTCTGGAAAATGTGGACATGAGCTACATGATCCATACCTTCTTTGTATATCTCATATGCAATGTGTTTACACTGTTGTGTCCAAGATTCAACCGATACATATACCAATTCTACCCTTGTTGCTTCTGCAATCCATGCTTGTGTTTATTGAAATTCCTGTTGAAGTCTTGATAGTCCCTCATTCTGCTTATGAAGTATTCTTCATGGTCTCTTGCTTCTTGTTCTAGTTTGAGAGTAAAGTTTGCTGTGTGATGTCAGTTGTGTGCTTGTTCTTCATAGTGGGGTGAGTAATATACTTGTCTATCAGATGATTGTTGTCTTGCTGGTTTGGTACTCCATAGCTCTCGCTCTGACCTTGGGATTGATATTGGTTTGTGCTTATATATATATATATATATATATGTATATATATATGCACTAAGTTAATACTGTTAATATCTTAAATATGTAACTTAGATTGTATAATCTATTGATTTTTTAGACTTTAAAAAATAAAAATAAAAGGTTGAATAGTAATAAAGAATTGGATTATTGTGGTTATTTCTTAATAATATATTTTTCATTATGGCCAAAGCATCAACCAGTGTATGTTTTATTTTATTTTTATTTATTGTGTCACTTCTTTATATCAAATGCTATCCATGATTTTATGTTTTCATTGCAATAAAAAGATTATATATCTAACATTATTTTTTCAAAATCTCAACTATATCATATAAGGTTAACAAAATAAATAAATAAAATCTCAGTTCTACTGATGTAATATATTGATTTTAATCAAAATAATTTTGGAATCAGTATGTACTTAAAAAATCTCTATTATGCACAGGCCTTTGAAGTGAAGCATTTAGTGATTTTTTTTTTCAAAATCCCAGAATATTTATATTTACACATACCAAAATGCAATAGTAATTTTTAAATTATTAAAAATTAATTAATGTAAAAAAGTAATCACATAGAGATTACAAAACATTTAATTATCCATGATAAAGTTAATAAACTTCAAACAATTACTTAAAATGAAAGATTCTAATTGAATAAATAATGACAGTGGAACAAAAGAACTTCTACTTTATATTGCACAAGTCATTGTTGACTTCTATTCAAAAACATAAAAATAAAAATGCATAGTTACATATACTTAAACATACATACATATACCATTAATTTTTGGCAGTGCTATGACCAAAGGGAAAGAGGAAAACAATGGGGTTGGGGTATGGGAATGGAGATGGGGGATGGGAACAGGGTGGGGGACATGGAACTTGTACAAAAGCAAATCATGAGTTGGGAAGGGGGTGTAGCTTTAACAACTCCCTAAATTTATTTCTTAATATATTTATATAAAAATATAATTCCAAATTTAATATGACATAGAACATAAAGCCCTAATTTTTCAAATCTTATAATGGAACATTGAAACATTTGAATCATTCTATAAAGCTTCAATAAAAATTCAATAAAACTACTCATCCCACATTGGTCATGTGCATGATTCAACAATCATTCATACTTTTAAAATCAAAATTCAATCTGCCAATTTAGTTTGTTTCAACAAATGAACACAACAAAATGAGTACTTTAAGGTTCAGAAATCCTAACACATAAACTGGTTCCCAAAAAATAGATTCAGCCCAGAAAAAAGAAAGGCCTGTTACAGTATTTGCAATGAGATCCACATTGTATCAGTTCAAGTTTATTATCAGAACTATGTCAGAATTAACGCATTAGTGATCCTTTCTATTCAATCAGCAAACTACAAACGTTCAAACTATCCACAGCCCTTGAATTCTTGCAACAGGTCATCGATGACAAATTGCAGAAATGCAGCAGGTGCATTGGTAATGACAGAAAATAGTAATAATAATAATACTACTAATAAATAAGAAACTGCTACAACTTGCGGATACAATGTCCAAACTTCTCAATGACTGTCACCCACTTCGGCTCAGCTGAGAATGTGGACTGTTTTGGAGGTTTCGCCTCAGGAGATCTGGTGTCTCTCAAGCCAGGAACAAGGGGTGACTGGAAGCTATCCAAGGAAATGGAGCGTTCAAGAGGCAAACCTTGGCTTCTCCTGCTCACTGGACGCAATCCATTTCTGCCTTCCACCCAGCTTGAGCTCGAGGATAGTCTCTCCTTGTGGTGTATTTCTTTGCCCTTGATGTAAATCTCACAGGGGGGAGGTTGACTTTTAGGACTGATCTCCTCTTCAATGTCCGAGGTGGTTTTCTTTGGCACTTGCAGTGACAAGAGCTGCTCGTGTTGTTGAAGTTTGTTCAGTGGGCACTCGACACAACCCCCTTCAGGGGCATGCATTGGTGACTGCGTACTGTGCAGCAGATCGTGGCCTTCCAGAATTGATGCTTTGGCATGGAGACAATTGCAGTGTTGTCCTCCGGTTGTATATGGCGAGCTGAACGTTGGTGCACCCTCACTGTTTAGGTTAAGGTTTAGCATTGGCAATGCTGAAGCCCGGGGGTAGCTTGGTCCGTTAACTGAAGCAAGATCACCAACAGAATTGTACAGAGTGGTTAATACTGGCTCAAGCTTGCGTCATTCTTGTTGCTGCTTTGGGTAGCACCGCTGAAAACCTAGGTTGCAATGAAAACAGGTGACATTGGAACCGTAAAGTATACAAGATTTGGACTGCTAAATTTGCACCTTCTTGACTGCTCTGTGAAAGACATTGCCTCCAATTGTACTGAGCTTGAAAATCAGCGTAGTTCCTGTGTGCCCCGAATGTTGGTCTTGGAGGGATGGATTCCTCTCTCGCAGGTTTAAGGGGGTCGCTGGAACGCTTTAAGATGGAATGTGGTGGAGGAACGGGCATCTTCTTCTCGAACTGTTCTACGACAAGCTCTAATAGATCTGGTGGAGTGGAAGCATTGGAAGGTACGAAACCATGACCAGGTCTCTCGTAATTCAATCGTGGGTCTCTGGGTGCAGGGCTTGTGTATTGAGTTTGACGCATCTGCAAGCAGCAAGGAATAGAAAACCTTGAATCGTGTTGTTAACTACATGCCCACATACGACCTGTTAAAAATAAGTTCATATCCAGCCAAAATACGTGAATAGTAAAAATACCTAATGCACTAAACATGTAAGCAATTGTAGCTTAACCACTACAGCATTCAGAAGCAACGGGAGGTCGCAGGAACTGTATTCAACCCTTTCGCAAGTATCTATGTTCACATCAGGTGATTCTAACTAAGAGAAGCAAACAATTTGTGCAATTGTAACTTGAGATAAAATACTTTCAAGTGATATTATAAAATGTGGAGGTTGAAATCCAACAGCTCGTCTTGCATGATCTTTCACAGTCCATTACAAAACTCCTCCAAGAGATTTGCAATGTTTAAAAATGCGGTGGGAAAGAGTCAAAAAATCCATGCCAAACGAAAATGGACACGTCAAAGCAATGGTTGGGATGCTCGGACCTGCGGAGTACTGGTCAAAGAACCGGCAGGTGAGATGCGCTGATAGAGGTGCCGGTGGGACAAATGCGCCGGCCTCACGCACTGCACACGAGCCTTGATCTCGGACTCAGCTGCACTAGGAGAATCACGAGGTGATGAGGAGGGCGTTGGGCAATCCAACCGCGCCAAGTGGGTCGGCAATAATTCTACCGGAACATTCACCAATGTGTCTGCCGCTCCGATCCAAACTTTGATGTTGGTGGATGACGTGCGCCTCACCTAGCCAACAGACAGGCAATTGTGAAATTACTCACAGGAACATAACAGAGATTCAAAAACCAGTATGCAAAAATACATGCGCTTCTGGTGCATAAATATGAATTAATCTCTATAGCATATTTTCTAAGTCGTGGAGGATCGAGCTGCTAAGAGATGAATAACCAAAAATCAGAGAGAATGTCTGTAAAATATAAATGGGGTTTGCACCTGTCCAACGAGCCATTTGGTTTGATTACAGCGGACCAAAACATTTTCACCAGAACTAAAAAATGGTGAAGCAGGGGATCTGTTGCAAAAATTTCTGTTGTTGCTGCACTCAGCGTTGCAATCACCAAAGCCATGGCTTGAGAAATTACTTCCAGAGCTAAATTGTGAAACAGGGGACCTGTAGCACAAATTCCTACCGCACTGGGCATTGCAGTCACCGAAACCATGGCCTGGATGATTGCTTCCAGGGCTAAATTGAGCACACATCGGCGCCTGGTCGATGGAATCTTGGACACAGGACCGGGGTGTTGTTTTCATGGGTGCTACTTTCATGGGGGGGCTCAACATTATGCCCTCGCTAGGGCTTTGAGGGGAGATGGGAAAATCGTAAATTCCTCGAGGAGACTGCGCACTGGCCGCTCCCCCTCGCCTCCTTAAAGTTGCCGGCTCAGTGTAGGGTATCTCCAGCTTCGGTCGAGGAAACCATTGGCAAGTGTTTGCAAAAGAATGTCCCTGCATCACTGCTCTCTCCCACTCAGAATCGTCCATCACTCTCTTCCCCTTTCCACTCACTGAATATCTCGCTTCTGTGAAGATTTCTCAGATCTTATGTATGGTCCAGCTCTGATCTCGTTATGGTGCCTCTCCGTGCCCGCCAGTTGTGAATGCACTGTTTCCTCCGCAACTTGAAAGCTTCTCTTTGTAAGCTCCCAGTTGCAAAACCAATTTTGGAACTCCGTCTCTTGTCCTGGACCATTTCGGCTCCAAAAATGTGCTCTGCGAGTGACCAGAGTTACGACTTAAAAATCCTTCAAGTCAGCACTGAGACCAAAAACACTTTAGCATGCATGGTTGGAGTTACTCAGCACATCTCGTTATTCTTCTTGAAAAAGAACACGCTTCTATCTTGATAATGATAGAAACTAGCAATCCAACTTATTCTCGGAATTGAGAATGCGACATAGATCCCTCAGACTGCGAGTTTGATTCCGCGAGGAGATAAAGGGAAATCAATCAAACAGCACCTCATACGGCACAACGCCTAACAGTGCACCTTGCAAACATACGAGCAACTTAGGCCAGGATGCCAGGAACCAAGAATACCTGCTGGTCACAGTCGACCATGAACAAGGAATCCCAAGAGACAGTGGTTCACAGAATGGCCAGACCCATCGCACTCCTAAACCTGTTGAAGTACGTATTCTTCGACTGAATTATGGCACAAAGACGTGCGGAGAGAACACACGGCCAAACAACACTTCATACAAATGCTTGAAGCGAGCGCCTCATGATTTGCAAACACAAATTCAGCGCAGCGAAGCGAAAAAAACTACAACAAAAAACTGGAATATCATACCTTATTCCAACTTCCCCAAGAGGCATGACGCTATGAGGGGACTCTGAACTTGAAACAATCTCCCCAGACCATCTGCACTACCACTGAGCGTATACTGCGATTACAACCGCCCACCACCCAGCTCTTGTGATTTTACAAACAACCCTCGAAAGGACTCTACAAATGCACTCCGTTGGAGCATCGCACACCAATGCTCCAAGTCGCTGAGAGTCGTTGGAGCATCGCGAAGTCCCTTTCCCGTCAACATATTCCCCAAACAGACCACGTAAAATTGTGATCCATGTTCAAGCAATCACGCGGATGAAGAGAAGCATGAGCTGCTAGTGAAATGCAATTCATAGTTGTGGGCTTCGACCTCCCATCTTAGATACACGGAGCAAGCAAGAGGGGAGGGAGGGGAGAAGGATCAAGCGAGTGCAGCACTGGAATTGGGCAGAAGAACAGAGAGGGGGAGAAAGTGTTCAGGAGGATGGAGTTGAGATAACTAACCCAACAGTCAGACCAGCTGATCGAACCACCATCCCCACCGGTTACTCTCCAAGCCTCCGCCCTCCCCTCCCCCTGCTATTTCTTCCGATCTGAATTCCAAGACTAAGAACGACGTTTTACATTCTCCACTGCTAACCCCCTGGGCTACGCTAAAGATGTTAACTAGAACCAATTATGCTGCTTACCAATCCAAACGAGTATTTCAAAAATAGGTGTGCAGAAATTGAGGGGAGGTGGGTCTTCAGAGTCACCGGATTCGTGACCGTCTCGAGCCATTGCAAAATGCACGCCTGATATTTACTGCAATTGTCATATTTCGTTGTATGTCCAGTAACGGTGAACGTAGAAATCACACTTGTTGTACCAGACTATTGAATTGTAAGGTATGCAACCGTATGACGGTTCGTTAAACAACCAACCATGCAACATTTTCCCGCTCAATGAAAGTAGCCGAACTTGGAGCCTGTCCAGATGATGTTCAGGGTCTAAGTAACCGTGGTCGTATTATTATACAAATAAAAATTTGACGGAGGCTCTCATGGCAACTTCCTCTACACTAAAAACTCTCTAGCAGCTGCAGATCACAAGTCAGTGATCATAGAGGTCTCCTTCAAGGTCAAGCATAAGTAGAGAGACAGTAATTACATTTCTGAACTCTAGATTCACCAGAGCTAAACCCTTCACAAAACATTTAAACCTTGACCAGAGAGGAAGAAACTTGTGCAGGAGCCATCGAAGCATGTAGTGGCCATCGTATTAGACATAAATTAGCCGCGCTGCATGCTATACAGATGTCCTCCAACATCCTAACGCTAGCAATAACTTCAAGAAGATCACTTTAGTCCATGAACTAGATCAACCGTTACCGATCCCAACCTGAAGGGCGTCGTCGCTGTCTAGGCCTTTCCCTGCAAAAGCATGTGGAGCAACATAAGTCGACTACCGGACTTCATCTTGATTACAGATATGAAATCGTGAACATGGTGCAAATTCGCAACTATTACGTCTTGCAGAGGGTATGGACGTTCTGCTTCAATATGTTCATTTCGACAGGAGAGTATCTGGTGAAGAACTGCTGTGTAGTCTTCAACTATGTCTTGTAACTGAGAGAAAAGAACTACAGAACGATCATGAGAGGACCAAAAGACATGGTAATACACCAGACATAACTTATGACTGGGTACGCATGTAACAGAATCATGCGTGCTAGTATAGACGATAGAAACTGAGTTGACCCGAAATACATACAAAGCCTGCACAAGCTCACTCGAACAGAAAATAAATTATCATACCTATCAGACTGATGATCTGGTTTCCCGTCTTCAAGACTACTTGCTTCTCGAGGATCCTGTTTACTATTTGTGATCTGATCCTGATCCCTGTCCCACCTTGACCTCTCCCTTTCTCTTCCACCATCTCTATCCACTGCTCTCTCAACTCCTACAGCAGTAGCAGCTGGCGGGACACATCCTGCATTCAAAACTTCCCTAGAATAGGAAGCGTTTAAAGACGGAGGAATCCCACCCGTAGACCCAGTTGAACTTGGAACTTGCCTCCCAACTGCGTTTCCACCCTGGAAATCTCCTAATGTATGAGCAGAAGAGCCTGCCGATGTGAAGCCGGACCCAGATTGAGATCCAAAACCAATACCTGCAACATAAACTTCGGCATGAGAAACGTTCTCGAGGACAACCCTTGGCCTCGCAAAAATCAAATAGAGCTAGCAAGAATAACAAAGAAGGAGAATCAGGAATACACTATGAAAAAAATTTAAATCATCCAATAAAAGATCTTCACGAAAGAAAAAGAAAAAAGAAAAAAGCTACGCATAGAAGCTACCGCAGCTTACAGCGGCTGTTAACAATATTACAGACCTTGACTTGAGTAAATTTCAACAAAATGAGCAGCAAGACAAGGTATAGGAATGGCGCAACTAAAGAGGTAAGCACAAGCGGAAACTGAAATAGATCCTCATGACCTCAAGAAAAGTGCAGGGAAGTCCAACAGAAATGCTTCAAGCTATATCTTTGAAACCAAGACTTCCTCAATATGACCATTAAGACTGTAAAATGACAACTCATGAAGCAAAACCACCTGCAGATACAAAGTTTCCGCGGCCCTTTCCGTTAACTGTTGGTTTGGCACCATAGACAAGCCCTTGTGGAGTATTCGCTTGAGATGGCGTGTAGCTTACAGAGTTGGCTGTATTGGCTGCAACGAAACTGCTCTTGAATCGAGCCATCATTCCTAGTTTAAGAGAATCCACAGCAGTGCCTCGTGTTGGAACCTCTTCTCTCTTGTATTGAACTTTGGGCGTTTTTTCTAGAGGTGCACTGGGTGCGGTACTCGCAGCATCGGCACTGTAGCCAATACCTAAGCCAAAGTCAACACCTCGAACATTCCGCCCTCCACCTCCACCTCGTCCATCTTTCCCCTGTCCTCCACCACGACCTCTACCTTTTCCTGCATGTGCAAAACTCAGGTGAGTGCAAATTCCTGTTCAGACCATGAAAATATGCCTCAGGGCAAGTAGCATCCAAAGAGAGTTTTGAACGTTACCTCTACCACCACCACCACCTCCTCCTCCTCCTCCCCCCTTACGCTGTCCCTCTCGTTGAGCACGGTAACGACCATCCTACCAAACAGCGAAACAAAGGAGCAAGCAAATAAAACTTGAATCATGGACAAATATAAAAAGCTTAATGACGACCCATATAGTGGTATACAAGAGTTATGGAGATTAGGGAGTTCGGGCACAATTTCACGATGACTAAGACAGTGAAATGCTGCAGACAGCAAACAAACCTCACTTGGTTCTTATTTGAAGGCGATCTACAAACTCAAAACCTAGTCCATGTGACAATTTATCTACAGCTCCTGTGTAAGTACAATTGAGCCTGTTTCTTAGCCTGAAATGGACAGCAGTCGAGATGCAACAAATAGAAATTAGTAACAGACCTTCATGGCAAGGTCCTTCAGCTCTGTGGGGACATTCTGTCCTGCCGCAATGAGGCTTGTCACAAGTTCACCAGCAAAACGGGCTTCCTTTCCTGTCACAAGTGTATGAGCCACCCCATCTTTATCACCAGCTCTCCCTGTTCGTCCAATCCGGTGTACATGACTATCCATATCTCTAGCGATATCAACATTCACAACCGTTTTAATAGACTTAATGTCCAAACCTCGAGCTGCTACATCAGTTGCCACAAGAATATGATAAATTCCATTCTTAAAATTCTGCAAAACTTCCATTCTTGTAGCCTGGCTCTTGTCTCCATGAAGAGCAGCGACTTTAAAGCCCTTCTCGGTAATTTTTCCCTCTAGCTCCTCCACTCTCAACTTTGTAGACGCAAATACCAGAACATCTCCATCATCTACGAAATTCTGCAGCCTGTCAATTAACCAAGGAGTTTTCTCGGCGTCGGAAGGCAGAACAGTCACCACCTGAGATTAATGTTCAAGTTTGTAAAAGGTTAAGAGTGCAATCGTAAGCATGGGAACCTGTGGAAATAATAGAAAATCTAGATATAAAACGTAGATTAATCCAATTTCATGACCAAGTTCACCCATCGGATGTTAGCAAATGTGGAGTATGCAAGAAGAAGACATTTTATTGAACAACAGGAAACAGAATAAAAAGTAACATTGGAAAAACCACAGACCTGCGTAATATCTTCATTTGCACTTCCAACTTCACCAACTGTGACCCTGATTGGATCTGTCAGAATCTCACGAGCAAGACGCTCCACTCGCTTTGGCATAGTAGCAGAAAATAGTAACGTTTGGCGATCGGGCCTGATTTGCCCGACAATGGATCGAATCTGAGGTTCAAACCCTAGATCGAACATGCGATCAGCTTCATCAAGCACAACATATGTTGCCTGGCGCATCGTCAACGCTTTCATCTTTATCATGTCTATCAAGCGTCCAGGGGTAGCAACTACTACCTCGCATCCAGCCTTCAACTCTTTGAACTGCTCAAACTTGGACATCCCTCCATAAACACCCGAGACTCTGATACCATACACCTTAGCAAATTTCTTGGCCTCCGAATAAATTTGTTGAGCAAGCTCACGTGTTGGTGCACAAATAACACCAATAGGACCTTCGCCCTTACTAAGATCTGGTTGATCCATAATATGTACCATCATAGGCAGAACAAAGGCTGCGGTCTTTCCTGATCCGGTCTTAGCGATTCCTATCAAGTCTCGACCTGACAATACTATCGGACAAGCCTGGCATTGAATCGCAGTAGGTTTTTCGTAACCCTGTTTTGCCATTGCATTCATCAACGGAGGATCAAAACTTAAGTCTTCAAACGTCTTCACAGGTCTTGAAACGTCAAATCCCGATACCCTAATAGCCAGTGATTTGCGATAGACTGCTACTTCCTCTTCAGTCATACCTGCATCCAGGGAAATATTCATGAAGCAAGAGGAGAAAGTAGGTCGAGTAGGTCGATTGTATCTCGAAATATTTTGAAACCCTATTCTAAAAAATTCTTGGAATATAACATGACAAAACTTTCACGTTACAAATTCCAACATCGTTTCCTGACATTTTTCCGCTTAATCTCATTATTGCAACAGTAACACTAATGAAAAAACAAAGCAAATCTATAAGCAAGGCATGATCAAAGTGAAACCTACAACCTAGTATGTACTCGTGCCTCAGAGGACATAACATCGGAAACAACTCACTTGAAATTGAGGCAGACTCTTCGTAGAAGTCCTTCGAAAATCGATCATAATCCAGGTCACTGTGGTCTAGAGGAGCAAGAGACTCGATCTTCTTTTTGTCTAAGGTCACAATTGCATTGTCATCAAAGTCGTACTCAATCTGTCCATTGTCAACTGCCTTCGCAGCCGCGTACACTTCCTCGTCACTATCATAACCAGCGTGCAAGGCTTCAGCAGCCAATGAGAGGCCTGCGTCCCGTCGAGCCTTGAGAAAACTCTCCATTGGATCATCTTCGTCATCCTCCAACTCTTCGACTATAGCTCTGGGTTTTACAGGTGCTTTCTTCACCTACAAAATTCATATTAAGATCTCATAAATTGTCTTGCTTGTGAGCTGGTGCGTAAAATCGGACATCTACAATTAACTCCCCACACTAGTGTAGTCAAAGTACGTTACTAGACTGAAAGCTGGCATAATGTCTGACCGATACAGGAGCAATCCAGACAATTAGCTGAAATCAACAAGCAAAATGTAAAAAAAGGTACTATGGCAGAATAGCGTCCACATTAAAAGTAAGTATTTCAAAGAGTGGCAAGTTTGCCAATGAATTATCAAAGAGCAAGCACATGCACTTGAAACAAACTAGGGTTATGGGCAACTATGGTTTCGGCAATTGAGCTCTCAAATCCAGTTGCACTAGCGGGCGTATCACTCTATAAATTTTCATTAAACCTCTTGAACATATCCTCACACCCAGTTTGACAATAACCTTTGCTGATGCTCCCATCCAGGTTGGTCAATGCCAAAAGACACACCAATAAGTGTAGCTTGGTTAAATACGCACCATGATCTATGGGTTTAAAGATGAAATTAGAACGTGCTCTAGAAAAACAGCCAACGATAATGTTGGCTTCAAACCCATTGCCGTGTACGTAATGCGATTCAAATGAAGCATAAGTTAGCACAGAAGTATCATCAGACACAATCCAACCTCCTCGCGAATGCCTTCCATGAACGCATCGAGCGGATCGACTTCATCATCATCAGGCACGGCGCCACCTCCTGCATGATTGTCATTGTCATCGTCATCGCTTCCAAACCATGGTTCATCCTGTTTCCCCTTCAGTGGCTTGCCCAATGATCCACTAGCACATTGACTACTTCTAGAGGCATTAGGCAGAGCACGGTCCATGAAATTCTCAGAGTCACGCTCATCGTCCTCGTATCCAATGTTATCTAAATCATGATCCTCCACGTTGTCGGAGCGCCTATTCCGTGAAGGGGATGGTAAATACAGACGCGGCTTGGCAGGTTGCGCCTCAAATTCGAAATTCGTTTTCTTGCTTATGCCAAAACCCTCGAATCCAAACCTCCGCTTCGACATTTTCTTCAAGTTCTGGACACGATTTCCGAGTCCTTCAGAACCGAAAACCTCTCAATAAAACACATTCGCTCAGACTACAATCATACAATTGCCAATGTATCCAACCCCTGATTTATGAAAGAAGGAGAAATTCATCTAGATCAGAGATACTGAGAGTAAAAAATTGACGCAATCCAGAGCTAATCCTTTGCACAGCAAAAGTAGACGCAAGACCTACCCACGTGCATGTCTAATTTCCCCGTCCCTACGAACTCAAAACTCGACAACTACGAAATTAAGCAAATATCCAGAATCGCACTTCGATTGGTGAATTACACCGACACGATAGACGTAGGCCCTCACTGCACCACGCACCAATTATGTCAAAACCCTAATTCCTGATCACAGAGCTGGAATTCCTCCAAGTATTGCACCTCCACGCCTGCAACAATGATAGATCCTCCCGTGGCAGCTAAGTTGTAACATGTCCTTCTCCCCATGCCACGGACGATCGCCGTGAGCGAACACTTGCACGCACTTCGTCAGCGAACAAGCTCCAAAGCTCCAGCTGGATCAGCAACGCCATAGTCCATAGCCCATAGGCCTGCAGCTTGACGTGCCCGTGAGAGTTGTCTCGCTCTGCAAAGCACAATGCAGTAAACGGCGACGACAGCGACGACGACGACCACCAGCGACGTCGAGTTCGTTGGGGAATCGACGTCGACGGAAACCGTTTCTCGTTCATGCTTTCAGCTTCGTCCATCTCGACATCCGTCGTTGCTCGTCTATCCTTTAGATGTGCTTTTCTCGCTTTTAGTTGTGTGAAGCGAAATATGGAAAGATTGAGGCAACAAAGCAAAATATTCCCCTAATTTTATGAATATATCATACAATTATTGATGTGCGTGCAAAAAGAATGAGTTCCAAAGCCAAATTGACCAAAGATGGAAATGATGGTGATGGAGGATGGGTATGACCACATGGTGAAAGGAGGGGAACAAGTTCTGAAGGGAAATATTTTGTGTATATATTTTGTGTGTTTGCATGGCTTCTTTTGTGTTGTTGGATTGCCACAACTTTTTCAATGTGCAAATGTTGTACCTCATGTCCCTTTATTTCTAATATGGGCCCGACATGATTTGGCTTGACATGGAAAACCAATCTCTTGTAGTGATACTACAAATAGATGTTCCCAAAAGTTCCCAAGTTGCCTCGAGTGGGTGTGATAGGGAACAAGAGTTGCGCTTCCCCAACAAAGAGATGCAATTCTTTCTTCTTTTTTTATTCTCTTTTGACTCACCTTTCCCATTGTTCTCCATGTTCCCGTGCTTCGGAGCATTCTTTTGGGTTGTGTTCACCTTGGATTGGAGTGAGATGACATCAAACATGTGATAGATAATGAATCCTTCTTGAATAGTTTTATCTCATGAAGACCATATCACCCATACATCATTGGGTTTCTAAATCATGGGATTTTTTTCACTAATTAACAAGGAGTTTCCAACCATATTTGTTCCCAAATATACACATCAAATAATCATTCATTGTGATATATTTTAACTTTGTATTGATGGTCAGAATTTTCAGATCAATCAAACAAGTAGGAATATATAACAATTTTGTAATAATGAGTTATAAATAAATAAATAAATAAATTCAGTTAATATTTTAACAAACACTTATTAAATCCTTTTTTTAAGACTTTGTTTTATAAAGTGATTTTCTAATTATATATGAAACACCGATTTATTTATGTGAATATTCATATGATACTCGAATCCAATAATATTTTATAATCATTACATTAAGAAACAGTATTGGGAAATGATAGTTTTGAGACATTTAGATTCATTGAATATCCTTGAGAACTAGTGACTTACTATATATGTTTCAATAATAAAGCAATCGGTACTCTGACAATAAATAAGGAGTTTGGTAAGGTAGCAGTAGAGCATCTCCTGTGCAAAAAGGTTGCTAAAAATGGTTTCTGTGAAGCTGTATTGAAAGGATGCAAATACACTACAGTTTTATTTATTTATTGTTAAATTAGCCGAAACTAGCTTACTTGAGTAACGCAAACAAATACTGTTAAATTAAATATACTTGATTCATTAACTGGTGCAAAACATAAATTAATACTTTAGCATATAATTATAATATAGTCAGTACAGATACTTTAGAAATGCTTCATAATGATACATTCTTGAGTAAAACCCTTAAAATGACACATTGACATGCATTATAGTGTTCCTGTTTCTTTATGTATTTTATCTTTTATTGACGTAAAGTGCTTACAGCTCATTCATATAACTCCTTTCACTCTTTCATTATTTGATTTTTGTTCTTTTTCTGTGTTGGTATGTGAGGGCATTCTCAAAACTGAATTTGGTAGAAGGAAATGTACCAACTTTTTAAGAGGAACAATCCAACTGAAGCTCTTTACTTGAAAAAACACTGTTGAAATTTTCTCATTAAAATGGTCAATAATGATGATTGATTATACTGTGTTGCAGTATAAGGAATTTCTTTAAATTAATATTTTATGATTGGTTTCTCAATGACTTCAAAGATGTAGATGTGATTTCATGTTCTGAACGTGTGGATGAAACAACATATGATGTTTGTAGACATAAAATTCAAATAATCTCTAACTGTGTGCTGGTATTCTAACCAAACAACTTTTTTATGCAAAAGAAAGAATGACCATCATTATTCAACCATTGTCTAGTAATCAATCTGTGGATTCAAGCAATAAAATTGTTGAAAATAGTCCATGTGTAACTTTCAATGTTTTTGCTCTAAATTACGTTGTATGTATTTTGAAGAATAACAAACAGATTTTTTCTTTGTTTCTGATTTTCTGGACAACAATATTTCAACACTAAATAGTTCTGTCCTCTTCCAGCCCTTAAACAGTGGCATGTGAGCAAAAATAATATGAAATTGAAAGTATCAGTCTCCCAATCGGAGAATATTTCTGTGAATGTTTTAGCACTGGAATTTAGAGTTACTTTGTTAACCAAAAATTACATCAAACAACTGTGAATGTTTATTTTCTGAAATTCGCATAATCTATGCACCCAACATGAAATATGATTTATTATTATCATGAGTCGATACAGGACATAACTTTATTATGCACTATCTGCACATTTAGTTTTGAACTGAATCGAGGGTAAATTTATATTTAAAAACAGCTGCCGTAATTAAAAGCAATTCAAACAAGATTATAATCCCCATTTTTAGACAAACACAACGACCTTCATCTTCTCTTAATTGGACAAACAGTTGCTGCATGCAAGCTAAACGTACATCATTTTTAGATTTGATACCGTGGTTATAAATTAACACTTTTCTTAGACAGTTCCATATAAAGTGAGCTTAATTTGTGTTCGAACAGAACTTGGATGGACTAATTTTGTTACTCAAACCAAAATTTAATAAATGTAGTTATGGATGAAAAGGAAAGTGAACCTACTTAACAAAAGTCGATCACTACGTTTTAACAATAAACATGAACTATAGCATTACTTGAACATTTACTACCAAAAATTAGTTCAACCATGAGTTATTATTTTTTATTTATGAGAATTCTACTGCTCTAATTAAATATGTGACATTGATTAGTTCAGCTATCATAATGAGAAACCACACATGACGGAGCTCACGTTCCAAACCTCATAAACTACCCCACAATCAGATAATGCCACAAAAAGGGGAGAAATAGAACCCAGTTTCAGTTGACAGTGTCAGAGTTCTGATACTGTACCAGAAGTTGGATTCGAAGCTCCGCGGGTCATCACTCTTGCACAGACGATGAAGCAACGCGTGTTGCTTAATCTTCGAATATTCGAATAGATCAGTCGGTTTAACAGTCTAGATTGCGAGTGGCGAGCTCATTAAGACCTGCATACTGGAACCCAGGAATGGTTTCCGACGTCTACACCACATTCAATACGGTTTCGCACGTCTGCCACAGCTTCGTTGAAGTTGAAGCCGCAACGATGTGGATATGAGCAACCGGGTAAGATGGAGAGAGAGAGAGAGAGAGAGAGAGAGATTAGGTTCGGCTGGATTGTTTCCGCTGTTGTCAGGAAGAAGTTCGACGCAGTATCCAGAAAGCCTTGAATTAAGTGCTCCTTGAGGAATTCACCACCATCTTTCACACAGAAAGCATGCTCTGCGCAGTACAGTGTAGTTACGGCACATTAACAAAAGTTTGTGTGTTGCTTTGCAACGGGAGAATGACGAATAGGGATGCCCTTGTTGCGGAGGATACTAGGCGCGCCATGTGAGGGGAGTGTTTTCATGCCAAATGTGGAGTGATACAGTGCAGAAAGCATTGGGAAGAGGGCCCCAAGAGAGGGTAACAAAACTCACGAGGGAGAAAGGCCAACTGATTCGTGACCTAAATTTGGACATTCGGAGAATAAACAGCAGCTGAGGAGTCAATGTGGGGTACATTGACCACATATCCGTCAACCAATTCTCATCGCTTGTTGATCCCATGAGCGAAGCTGTACCTCTGAGTTGGCAACATAGAAGGATTGATTGAGTCGGAGATGACTGGGAGATCAGCCAGAATAGATGTTTTGAAGCCCAAATAAGGCTGTGTTGAACCTGCTTAGATATGCAGCAATTCCTGAGAATAGGAAGTGGAGCCCCAATATTGGACCAGATGATGAGTAAGGACATGCTGACCCAAGTCTGCTTTAGGATTCCGCGACCCAACCAATGGACATTAGCCTCTCGGTCCGTTCGTTTACCAACTGGCGCCTTCATGCGCCTTCATGCGCCAGTTCGAGGGCTCCCAACAAAGCTCTATCTAAATTTTTTTCAGACTGTCACTTAAAAGTAGCTATCTCCACATGGGACCCATGCTGCTCATGCAAATCAAATTTTGCCGTGAGTATATTTGAACAGGGAGTGGCGATTCCGGGTTGCTGCATGCGATGAAAGATTCCGCTACTTGGAATTGAAGGCAAAGTAGAGACCCAAGAAGCGTTCATTTGCAGTCTGGAGGCTTGCGCTGCAACCTGGCGAGGCCTTGGCGTGGTTGTGGCTGCTGATGCTGGTGTAACGAATTAAGGTCTCCTGGTGAATAGAGACCGTTGCCAGAGTACACACGCGGCAGGCCCTTCGCAGCAGAGCAGTTACGCGGTGATGGAAACTTCCGTCCCAACGAGATGACACCACAATAATCCCAAGGGCGCATGATGCTGTAATCACAGGCATCGTCGAACAAAACAAGCAGAGATTTTCTTGTGAATCATGGACAAAACGGAGAAAAGGCACGACTACACCTAGTCATCACCGGCCTCACCCACATCTCTGCGCTGGGACATCCAGGCAGATCACCCATCAAGTTGAAATTTTTACCACCCAACACCCCGAATTGGGAGGATTCCACAGCGACCGTCACCGAAGCGATCCAAACCCCGTCCCTAAATTAGCCCGGGAGGTCCCGCTGCGAGTTGTTCCTTTGGGTAAAATTAGACCATTCGCTTTATTTTACACGTACTGAATAGTAAGGATTCGGCGGGATAGGCTATGCTGGATCTCTACTCGTGACTCATCACCTCGCCAGAATGGAACGATGAGCATCTATCAAATTCAATACGTCGTTCATTAATCGGGGGATGAGTTATTTTTTAGAGTGGAAACTAGAATCAGAGGGCGTGTAGTGCCCAACACCACACAATCTCTAACCCGTAGCCCTCCGTCCCCTCCCATGCGTCGCTAAGAGCAAGCAACAGGAGTAGCTGCAAGCCCATGCAGCACAAGACGATGAAAGCACGGGGCACTAGACGAAGCAGACGAACAGAAGAAGAAGAAGGATCCTATACCCTAAAACCGGGCCGAGACAGACAGTCTGGCTGTGCCGCAAATAGCCGGGCTGCCCGTCCTCTCCTGCTTTGGCTACCCTGCCCGATCACGCTTGCCCGGAAGGGGCAGTGCCACCCGCTGTCGAAATCCTCGGAAAAAAGTGATTGGGCATCTTTTTCTTTCCTAAGAAGACACAACAAATGGAGACACTTAAAAAAATATATTGTCTTAAACAATAAAATCATGTCATAGAGTTCCGCATGCATGAAAATTCTTAAATTAAGTCATGTAGATGAATTCTACCTAATGGGTTATTATCTACATGACTTGAGTCTTAATATTTTTCTATTTTAAGACGTTTTCCTATGTTATGCAAGTATGTTCTAATAGACATTGTATTTCACTTCAACAAAAGATCATGCATTAGAATTTGAATAACATCTATTGTCTAAAGCCTTTTTTGCGTGCAAACTTTGTAAATGCCTTTAAATTGTATTCAAAAGTTGCTTTTAGTTACTCTTCTCTTAGAATACTATGTTTTTTCTTAAGCTATCTAATTGTATATGCATATCATAAACATTTGGACCTTTCATAATTGCTCATAATTTAAATTATATGTTTTTAAATTCATCTTCCTCAATTCTAAGTAAATAATTTTATTTTTAGTAACCTATATCAAAATTTGTGAGTTATTTTGAATTCTATTTTTCTTCTATGCTATCTAAGATAATGAGGTTTGAGTTATTCTAATCGTATCAAACATAAATAAAATCATAATTTTATGAGTATATATTAATTATCAATTGTTTAACAAAGTGCAATAGAATCTACATATCTTGAATGTTTTTAAATGTATATAAGTAAAATTTTAATAACTTAAAAATTACATATAAAAGAGTGTTTTTTACATTATAAATTATACTATTAAATAAGAAAAATTTGAGTTTATTGACATCAGTTATCTTACAAAAGAATTATGTTACTTCTACTAGAAGTATTTAATATGTTATTAAAATTTAAACAAACTAATATCTATACACTTAATATCTATTTATCTATATCTATAAGAGTTATAAGAGTTTATAGATGAGCATTGTGATTGGATTGCCACATAATTAAAAATAAAGCACTTAATTTTAAATCAAGGATTGTATAAGCATAAATATAGAATAAAATAAAATTTTAATATTTAATAAATAAATTTAGTATCATAATTTTGGTATTAAATTAAAACACTTATGTTTAAACACTCTAATGTCTGATGTTTTAGATTTATTTTATCAAAAATTAGCAATTCATTACAAAAACATATTACAAATTTTATTCAAATTCTTAAAGTAATTTTTCAAAATGTGCTTCTAAGTATAATAATTTGGATGATTTATATAAAATTTGGGGGCATAATAAAATATTTTTACATGCTTATATATCTATTGTCTTTTTTAATTGTTAATGTAACCATGCTTTAAGATTATACATTCAAAACTAAACATATTTTAGTAAACATAGCATTGCAATTTCAATACATAATATAAATAATTAAAAATCACTAGAATTTAGTAATAACAATAAAATTTTATTATAAAATGTATTGATAATAAATAAAACTGATAATTAAATTTGGCTTGGTAAAATATATTTATCTATGTATCTTTGTTAGTAGAGTAAATTTAAATATTAATAATTAAGATAAATACACACACACACACACATATATATATATATATATATATATATATAATTGTATCAACAAGATTTTTAATTTAAAAAAAGATTAAATATTCTTAATCTTTATATATTTACTCTAAAAATACAAGACATAAATTTTTAATCACTTATTAAAGATAAAAGTATGTGGTTAAAAATACTTTGTATTAACAAATTATCCAGTCCTTTCTTTTGAAAAATCAATTATGAATGAAAATTTTTATTTATAAAAAAAAGTAAATAAAAACTAATCATGATATAAATACTATCATCTTAAAAAAGATTAGAATTATTTTAGAAATAAATTGTAAAATTTATAAAATTCATAAAAAGATAAAATTTTATTATCTTATTAGAATTTGGACAGATGTAGAACTTAAATTAGTTAAATAAGTTCTTTTGAAATAACATTGCTAAATTTTAGTAATTCATTAGTTGCATAAGATTTAAAATTAAATGATTTCAAAATTCAACAAAAACATTTTTTTTTTGTAATCATTATAATGCAGTATAAATATCGAAAAATATATTCTTATTAATCCTTGTATTTTAATGAAATTTAAAATGATCTAAATATTTTTTTTCATTGGAAGAATAATATACTAATATAAATAATTACATTATTGAAATTTAGTGGTTACTAGTTAAATAAATTATGACATTGTAGTTTAATTGATAATGTAATTTAGTTTATAATTGTCCTCTATATTCATTTTTTACATATTTAGAAAAACTTATATAATATAATAACTGACCAAATAATTTTTTGAAAATATATGTTTCAAAAAGACTTATTTGGAGTACAACTAAATTGGAAAGTTCTCATTGAATAAAATAATTTTAAGAATAAATGAAATTAGGCAATTGCTTTTACAAATAAAATATTAAAAAAATAAAAGATATAATAGAATTTTATAGCACTGACATTCTTATATTTTTTAAGAATAGTAATATGACTTGAATATCTAGGATGTATTTTAAATTTAGTTTTTGTCTAAACTAAAAGTTACTTTCTTATGACTATGTCATTATTATTTAGATTTAAGATTTTTTTTTTCAAAACTTGATCAGATTTGAACAAATTCTTTGGGAATTTTTTATTATTATTTAAATAAATTTATTTTAAACATAAATGATATTTGTTTTGAAGATAGAATCTCTTTGAATATATCACTTTACTTCAAAGTAATTGCATTGAAATTAATTGTGTAATTATATAGAATAAAATTGTATGTATATATATACATATATAGGGAATTGTCAAATTGACCGAGGCATGTATTAAATTGATCCACCCATCCTAATCATCATCAAAACAAAATTCTACTCTTGAATGTTGGATCTACAGGAGTCAAAAACCAATAAATAAATAAATAAAAGGTTGGATCTTCAATTAATGATGATAAGTGGGTTGATTTAGTAAATGCAAAGGTCAATTTAGCCATTTTGTATATATATATATATATATATATATGTGTGTGTGTGTGTGTGTGTGTAAGTATATCAACAAATTAGATTATGAATATGATTTTTTCATAATTTCTTTAAAGATTTGATATCATATTAAGTTTTAAATAGTTTGGAATTGCTTTATTTATTTATTTAAAAGCCAATACAAAATTTGGAACATAGAACATATATGCTTTTACTTCTTTCTAAATATCATTTATCTATTAAAAAATAAATTTTATTTGAAGATGCTTAATATTCCAATTACAATATAATTTTAATGTCTATATTTATTTGTATGGTTTGTTTATATAATACACATCATATGATGAAAAATCTTCCAAACAATAATAAAATTGACTGATATTTTATTACCTTCGAATTTTTAATGATTTATGACTCAACATATAATTATTTTCACTGAAATAATATTTAAAGTGGAAAATTGGAAAATCTGTCATTGCTTCAAATCATATACTTACTTATCAACTTCAGTTTTTTTATTTTAATGCATCAATAATAATTTTTTGAAAAATAAAGGTACTTGTGGTGTTTGTTTGTTTTTTTTTTTTTTAAAGTTTTGCTTTGAAATTCCAACTCAGATTTATGTACAAAATTAAATTACCTCCTTGTTTTGAAATCCTTTTACTTCCATGTACCTTGTGACCTATTCAATCATCTCATGGATTTCGCACTTCAACTAATCATACCACTTAACTTTCACACTATGACAAAAAAAGTTTGCAACATAAAGTGACACACTACATGCTATTCATTTAAATGAACTATGAATGTTTTGAGTCGATTTTGGACAAACAGATTCGTAATTCATATCTCTGTTTATGTTTGTTTTGTTTTGTTTTTACTTTCTTTATTACTTTCGTAATTTGTGTAAATACATACATTTGCCTAATTAGTGTTCTATAAAAAGCCATGACACAATCCTGTATTTCACCCATGTGCCCAAACTTAGTGCAGAAGAGCTGCCTAATATACTTTAAAGGTTACCATCGCGCCTTTTAGTTGCCAGGCATGCCCTGTCGGGCAGGATAGGCAGCCCCGATAACAAAAAGCAGTCATGGGATAGGGAAATGTTGTTGTAGGTGCTTCCACCGCGGATCCCATTGCCGTGGCTATAGCAAACCCTAGATCTGAGGACAGCGCCATTGCTGCAGCTGCCTTCTGCTGCCAGTGCGCTGTTGGATTGTGCTCTTGCGCTGCCAATTTGTGAGATGCGATGCGAGGTTTCATGGTCTCCGTCGTCTTCAGTTGCTGCGCCTCTTTTACTCTTCTCAACCTAAAGCCTGACATGCAGCCTCTAAACTGGAAGCCAAACGTACGTGAGAATCCTGTCTCTGGAGATTGCCTCAACTATTTCTAGCTCTCTGCCTGACCACCCTCTGCAGTTTTATTGCCAAGTGGGTTCTCATTCAAAATTTATTTGTTTATTAACAGCGGCATCGGTTTGTCGTTGCGGAATCTCGTGGCAGCGGAGTTAGGGTGCAGAGAGGGCCATTAAAGGAGCAGCAGTAATGGCGTAAATTAGTTCGCTTGATTTCATGAGTGTTGTGAGAGGATGAGAAGCGCAAATTTGAGAGTGTCCACGGGAATGTAGCAATGATTGGAAAGAGATGGGTGATCTCCGTCATGTTTAGCAACCACGTAATTGAGGCTCTGTCTCCTAATAATGGAAGGGAAGTGAAAAGAAAAGGAAAATTGTGAGGAGAAAGAGGAAAGGCAATTGTTATCTCCGAAAAGGGGCCATTAATTAGTCCAAGCGTATCTGGATGGTGGAAGACTGGAATCGGGCCCCACCTGAAAACATGCTATTCCAGTTGGTCTGCCTGAAATAAGTCGCAGCTCGATCAATATTTTGGAGCGTGCCTTCAACCCATAAGTACTTTCGCTCGCTTTCCTTGTCATACTTCGCCCACAAGCTCCAACGTCTTGCTTTTGCAACAAAATTCATTCAGCGCTCTCTCTGTAGACTTTACTCTACTTCTAATTTTATGTGAGGTCGAGGGGTTGTTGAAGGTCCAGGGGTTGGGGTGTGTGTACTGCATTCCTCGTTTTTTTGGGTGGAAAGTGTTGCAATACACACACACACACATATATATATATATATATACTGGTAATAGCTGTTGCTAGGAGCTGTGAACGTGGTAGTCGGGGGCATTTGTTTCCTTGCGCCTGAGGTTGATCAGTGGGTGTGTTGGGTCTCTGGATTGATTCCCCTTTGTTATTGTGGTTCAAATAGGAATGCGACCGTGAGTGGTGCTGTATAAATTCAAGAGTGTCTGTAGCGTTGTGGGGGTGGAGGTTGTGTCTCCTTTGTACTACTCTGGCTTTCGGGGGTGCGCGTAGTTGGAAGAGTTGTTGGCGTCGCTGTCTGGGTTAGCGACTTCGAGATTGATTTGTGAGAGAATTGGGCAATTTTGTGCAAGAAATTACGTACTATTCTGTTAACTGCTGTTGGTTTGCTGGACTATGAAAGACATGCCCATTCGTTCTGAGAGCATGGATTTCTTGGTTGCTCCGCACACCCAAGAGTCTCTGACTTGTTCTAGGCGTAGAGAAGTCGACCATGAAGCTCCCCGGAGCAAGAGAGTGTGCGTTTCAGGTGGACGAGCGTACGGATGCTATGCTAGTGGTGAGTTAAAACATCGTACTTTGAGCCCATCTGTGCAAGAGCTTATTGATACCGACGCCTTCGAGCCCGGAACTCCAACAAAGAACGATACTCCTACGGAGTCGACCCGAAAGGTTTCGAGAGGGTGGGATAACTTGCAGCTCTGCCTTCTCGAGCGAGTCACGCGGTCTTTGTCTGCGGCCGATCTTTGTCGGCTATCTCAGGTGATTTGGCTAATCATCTTTCTTAGAGGAGGAGAAGAAGCTGTTTAGTGGTGCCTGCGGAAGCTCGGTGAAAAGAGTCCATTGCTCAATTTGTTACAGTCTCGTCTTCCGGCACTCGTCGATATACTGCCGCGGTTTCTTTTTGTCTGTTCGCCGTGGAGCCATGGCCTACATTACAAAAGAGCATTCTGGTTGTTTAGTATGCGACGCAGTCACCGCGCTTGTTTACCTTTGTCTGAGACTCTTCCAACAAACTTTTGAGAGGTTTATGTGAACATGAGGGATGAATTTTTGCTTCACTGACGTTGTAAATGATTGTGAAATCTATTTTCTTTCGATAATGGAATCTTTAACAATCTCAATGCCTCATGAAATTACAGGTCAATAAACACTATCGAGAACTATGTTCCCGGGATGCCCTGTGGACCTGGAGAGCGGATAAGAAGGGTTCTGCAAAGATTCTAGAGAGAGAAAACAGTTGCAAGAATGCGAATGTTGCAATGGCTGGTTCACTGCAGGTCGCTCCGCTCGAGTCCTTCACAAGTGTCCGTTTCTCTGGAGATGTGGCAATAGTAGACCCGTATGTGCACTTACACCCCATTTTTATGTTTCATGTCCCGATAACGTGACTAAAGCCCCTACACTGTTGGAATTTTAATTATTATTTTTCAGGAAACAAAAGCACTAAGATTCTGTGCTAGATAATTCATGGCTTTCAGTTTCTAAGCATTTATCGTAGTTTTAACGCCTGTTTTAAGTTTTTGATTCTACTGTGAGTAGCAGCATTGCCTTTACGTCCTATTCTCTACACGCTGCTTTGTGTGTTTTTTTCTGGCACAATTTTACTTTACTTTATTTTTCTGTGCTTACCCCTCTGTCTTGTGTACAGGTTTCGTATTTTTTTCCAAGGAAAATCCAATTATAGCAAGCACTCTGAGCTCCGAAAGATTGTGAAGAAATTTGGCCACAAGGATTTGGTGCTGACATACCGCGGTATTCAGAGTGCGATCTTGCCTACGAGCTGTGTCATCCATGACGATGTCACTGCATTTGAGGTTTTCCGCAACGGACAAGAAGTGGGAGCTAATGTGACCACCTCTGGTGTAATTGCTGTCGTGCCCAATCAATTGGTATTGCAGTTGATTGAGGAGAATGAAGGTGCACCTGAGGAGGGACGCGGTGTGACCGTTACTGGTGTTGATGGCATCTTGCGATGTAGCTCAGACGGAGACTTCATCATCCGTAATTCTGTTCCGGGGAAAGGAACGTCTGTGAACTTTCCGTTCACTGGAGAAACTGATTCTGCGGACATAGTGTGCTCCACAGGTATTTCCTTGTTCATGGGCTTTTGCATCAGACCTTTGCAGAAAGTCTGGATTCAAGTTTTGCGATCGCGTGCCTCTTTGTTGCTTACATTCTGAATATCTACGAAAGAGCGAAGGTCATTGTCTCGTGTTCACACACAATTCGTTGAGTAGCCTTTTGACCCAACCTTTCCGTGAACGTGCAGGTGGGAGCTGGACCGAGGACAGTGATAGTGATGATGAGGAGGAGTTAACTGACGAGGAGATGGCAGAGGCTGTTGCTGAAGTAGCAAAGATCACGAATTCTTACAGCAACCTGCAGCGCTTTCACTGCAACGGCGATGGATTGATTCACAAGTTCACCAACTTTGAAGTGTCAATGCTCTCATGATCCCTCACATCGAATGAATACTCCATCCTAGTTTTTGTGTTCATATGGAAACGAAGAATCTTCAATCGTTGGGAGCTTAGGATCTCCCCGCCACTCCTCTCCCTCCCCCTACCCCCCCTCCATTTTTTATTTTTCTCTCCCCCTCTTAAAAAAAATCCTGCCTTATGCTCATTTAATGATACCCATGACCAGTCGGGGGACTGTACTTTTCAAGATTTTGCAGCTGATAGTGAGGCGTGAAACCTTCTTCCTTGTGCATCGACGCCGAGTACATATCTGTAAATTACTCCTGAGGATTTCATGTCATAGAGTGTACCACCTCTTCCGGAGTCACGGCAGTCCCTCACATTGTAGAACTTCTGAGAAAGTTCACGTAGTTTGTACAAAACTTCTGCGTGATGCTGAGCCATCCATGTAGCGCCGTTTTCCTCGAACATAGTTAAATCTACCTTCTTCTTCTACCACCGATGACTAACACATACTTGACTTTCGTAACATCGTCTTCGATATCCTTTTTTTTTTTTTTTTTTTTTCTTTTCTTTTCTTTTCTTTTCTTTTATTATCTTTTACCTGGTTTTGATTAGATGCAGAAACCAACCTCCACAACAGTGAATGGAGGGACATCTGTACTTCAATTTTTATCAAATGAAAGTGCCAGTTCGACATGGGTTTTTTTCCATGAAATACCAGCAAATTTCTTCATGAACAAATCGAAGCAAACCTAAAAAATGTGACAAGAGTCCCCTTCGTGAAATCTCGCTCTAAAGGTTTACAGCTGTAGTGGCCGAGTACGTATCAGTTCTACTCCAACATGATTTAGCGGACTTGATACTTGAAGAACTGTAAATATTCCAAATGGCTCTACACCACCAATACCCATTCAACTTCTGTCTTGTTTTTTTTTTTATCAACAGGTCGTGCCATGTTCATCCAGCTAACACGAATCTTCCCCATAGTTGCGACAATTTCGATGACGTGGATCATGAAGTATATACGCATCTTCTAATATAATTTAAACAACCCACTGGTTCCCCCAGCAAATATGAAGACAAAAACATGTAGAGCAATGTTTGTTCACAGACAGAAAAAAAAAAAAAAAAAAAAAAAAAAAAATCAGGTTTGAAAACCGGATAAACTAATACTGATAGATAGCCCTTTGATTTGATATCTTCTATTCTTCACCGAATCATTCTCCCGTTTTTATCCACGAAAGTTACAACAGCATTTTTTATAGTAGAAAATAAGGGGGAAGGGGGCTGGCAAGTGGAGTTGTTGACAAGAACCATGTCTTAAAATGGAATCAGTATTTTGATATTTTGACACGTTGATGTTATATAGAAATAAAATAGACAAGTAGACTGGGTCAGTTTTGGCCGAAGCTGGGAAGGATTCCATTCTGTGACTAATTCTGATTGTGGCTATTTTTTGCTCAATAGCTCGTGGAGACTGAGGTTTTATAAGGAACTTCTAGCGGAAATTCTACACTTGGCATAAGTGCGTTGGACGTTGCCCTCTGTGCTATTGTAAGTTTAACTTTCTTTACTACTTTAGTAGTGTTCTTGGTAATGCTGCTTCCAGTTCTTTCCACTTATCCTTATAAAAGGACCTTGCCAAGTGTGACGAACCTTTGGTGATCGGTTTCATTTGTTGTTATTTCAAGAGTAGTTCTTTAAAGAAGAAAATAATAAAAAACAAAGAATAAAAGAAACAGCAAAAAATAAATGTTGCTTCTTGATGGAGTTCATGAAAGGAGCGTGATACTTCTTTTCTGCATTTCTTTTCATAAATAATCAGCTCAAAACATATTACAACCCAATCTGTGTGATATTATGCCTTTTTAACAGAGCATGATTTTTTCATTTTTGTAGAACATGGTTGTTTATAGTTCTTATCGGAATTCTTATATTAAAAGAATAAAAATAATAAAAGTAAAGGACTAAACAGAAATAAAGTGATGCGTAGTTTGTTAAGAACATGTCAACTCTGCCACATTGCTTACCACAGCTTGCAGTTCAACCACAAATCATTATTTAAACTAACTCAAAATCAACCATGTTCAAGTGTTCAAATTTCATTCATCTCTTCATCGAAAACATAATCAAATGTAATAATATGCTATTTAAAAAAAGAAAAAGGAAAAGAAGGGGTTTTCCTACATTCCTAAACTACTTTAAAATACCTAATCAAGAATGTAAAAACAAAGTTTAAGCAGAATAGTTAAATTATTTTCATAAAAACACTAATCAAAAATCATTTTATCAACACACACGAAATAGACAAAAAGAAAAGAAGAAATCCAATCCCCTCTCAACCGGTTCAAATTCCATACCCAACTGTTGAATATTCATAACTGGCAATCACTCACTGATTTCAGAGAAACATCACCACAAAAACCCCAAAAATTCATATTTCCCTCGGTATTTAAATATAAATAAAACGACACACACACACACAATTATATATATATATATATATATATATATACAGGAATAAACCAAACATATGTTAATATGGGCAGAAAGGATTATATGTTCCAAAGTACGTGACGCAAAACATTCTTTGCCTGCAACAATGACGACAACAACAACAACAGTAGTAGCAGCAGCAGCAGCAGCAAAACAGCATCACATGATCTCTCACACAATGGGCTCCATTCGTAAAGCGGCGGCGGCGGCGGCAGCAGCAGCACTTTCTCATCTCCAGCAGTCCAGCGCGTCCGTGGCGACGCTCACTAGCAATCTCCCCCAGTATATAACAAATGGAGGGACTCCGGATAGCCTTCCCTCCTCTCGCTCCACCACCACCACCCAGTCTCGCCACTCCGCCCACAGCACACAACAACAGAACACCTCTCTCCCCTATGCACAAGGCCATGATCATAACGCTGGAATTGATCCCCCCACCCCCACCCCTCCCCCTTCCATGGCCTTGACTTGACGTGCAACGCCGCGGACGTGATTCTGCCCCTCTCATTGCCATGGTTACCACTCAAACATCGGACGCTGGCGGAAATGTGTCGAGCATCTCTTCTGATTAGCCCTCGTCGGGATAAAAACAACCCATCTCTCACAGCGGTACTGTTACTGCTCATCATCCCCCCCCCCCCCCCCCCCATGCAGCCATCACTCAGTTTCCAATCATGGGCACGCCAGCGCCCTAGCTTCTTAGGTTGGCCTACAAGGCTGCGTGACAAGGGTGCGTGGGAGTCGCTGCCGCGCTGCGCTTGGTGAATCGATAACACGGTCGTGTTGCTTCGTTACTTATTAGATGTGCCGGCGATGCTGGCCGATGAGCGTCGGCCCCGGGTTCATTCTCTCAACCTCTGATGAACGCTCTGTTGTCGTTGAGCGGTGCTGTGAGTAATCCGAATAAAAAACACTAAAGCCACCGGGTGAAAATAAACACGTTGAAGAAGAATCGTTCATTTCGAGAAGTGTTGATTTCAACATCTGAAAGCGTCGGGAAGAGCACCGAAATTTGGGTGTTGTACTAACAGCTTCGCGTCTTGTGAAGTGTTGTGTAATGAGCAGTATGAGATTTTGGGGGACTTGACTATGAGTTAGAGTAACACAATAAGCAGAGGTAACACTTTGCGAAGATTGAGCTGTATCGGGAAATGAAGAAGAAGAAGAAGAAGAAGAAGGCGATCCGCGTCGCATTATTCGTATTCGTGGGACGGGTTTCGAGCGAGAGACGTCGTTGTTCTCGGTTGGTTGACACAAAGCGCGGCCATGGGAGCCTCGAAGGAGTCCTAGAGCATAATTAGCTGAGATAGCAGCTGCGATTGCTTCATGAGAATGACGCAGACCCCAATGTGAGAGGAGGGGATTTGGGCTGATCATGATGTGAGTGCGACTGCAGGATCTCGATCGTCTTTGCGCCGGAGGCGTCACCCCATCAACTCCGGCGCCGCATCGGACGGCTTGTGACTTGTCTCCCCTTCAGAGAAAATCCACGGACGTTGGGATCCGAGGTGGCGGTGAGGGAGCTAGAGGAAAGCACATCAGCGTACCATTGCCAGCCACAGCTTCGTTGTTGAAGCGCCTCGGAAGCTTTTGAGTCCGTCCCGCTGATAGCACCACATACCCATTTCTCTGTGCAGGATCGTTGTAGAGGGAGAAGGGAAAGAGCCTGGGATACTGTTGTTGAAGATTAGCAACTGGATCTCAGACAGAAGGATTTTGGAGGCCGTTGGGTTCGGGAATTTGGCTGCGGTTGGTCGGCCGGACTTCGTTTCTTGGGATCCGAAGCTTGGAATTCACGTGACTTGAAGTCGCGGCCTGCTGGGTTAAGATATAGCGTCGTTGTGTGCATCAGCGACAAGGCTGTGTTTCAATTGCGTGATTGAATGCAGTGTGGAGGACGATGCAATGAGCTTGAATTCGTTTGGAGTTGCTTCATGAAAGTTCACAAGTGATGTATTACTCTCTTTTGGTTTTCTTTTTGCGCATCTTCTGTTTATTCAGTTGTTCCATATGCTGATATTTGAGACTTGTGCGAAATAAATTGTGTGGAATTGAATGGGCAAAGATTTGCATAACAGATTGGGTTATTGGCCAGTGCTACCATGGACAAAGCATTGCCGTGCGGCTTTCGTAGCCACCTTCCTGTGCTTGTGTGAAGCGAGTGTTGGTACAGGTTTTGATGGTTGAGAGTTGGTATCCTTTAGTTTAATTTGTATATGTGCTGATTTGGAACTGCAATGTAGAGGTTGTCAGGTGACTAATTTTGACTTGTTGTTGCAGTTTATCTTGCCCGATTCTGTTTTAAAATGTTTGAGCCCCTAGAGTACCGATTTTGATTACGAACATCGGGTAGAAGTATGAATGGCTTCAAATTACAGGAGAGAAGAGGGCGTCGTATCCCAAATGATCCCTAGATCTTTGATAGCACCTGGCCGATACCAATCAGTACCAGTATCACGCTCGGTAATACTATCCAGCAATCTACATTCTCTGAAACAGTTTCACTTCCTAAGTAAGAGTGAACCTCAATGAACTGCCGAGGAACGTCCTCCCTTGAATGGTGATGATGGCGCTTACGTTCTTTTGGAGGACTCTCAGCTGATAATCAACTCGAATATACAAATCTGTCGAGTCTGCAAATATGGACACAAGACATTAGAGGTTTCTAGTCCTTTCCTCGGTTCCTTGCCAGAAGTCGAAGAAGAGAAGGATGTCGTTTCCTTACATGCAAGATGGGAGTGGAGTTTCACCCCCTGGGGAGAAACTCTACTCCGCATATTCACAGAGCATCCTACGCAAGGGAAGGGGCATGTCGGAGAAAAATTTCGAATTCATCTTCTCAGATACTTCCAGTATGGGCATGAAATTCTCAGTAGGTGTGCCATATTCCTCCACGACTACTGAGGAGGATTTCCAGGAGCTTGAGCAGGAATCTTCGGTGGACTCTTCCTCTACTCGTTGCATTCTTCAAAGAAAACCGCGCAAGGGGAGGAAAATGCTTCTGCACACACCTGGGAATGTTTGTGGCTACGATCCAGAGAAATTTGGCATTTGCAATCGTAGCGTCTCTTTCTTAAATCCAGTGCAAGCTCTCCGAAACCTACAGCATGAAAGAATGCACTCACCAGGCATCAACGTTCATTTCCGTTGTACTCATCGCTTACATGCGCCGAGCATAATTCGGTCGAAGCCAGCGATAAATCATGCTGGCTCAGAGTTGCCTTTGTGTTCTCCGTCTGCTCCTTCAGACGAAATTGAGCACCCGCAGATCAAAGAGGGTTTATACAAGACTGAGCTCTGTAGATCTTGGGAGGAAACTGGTCACTGCAGATATGCAGCGAAGTGCCAGGTACTGCTGCTGAGAAGTTAATCTGTTTTTCACGATTTATCAAAACTTCAGTGGAAATCCCTAATGCGTTTGAGTCAGTTCAATCTGAATCTGAGAGGATTTAGTGGTTAATGGATTAGTGGAGAGACAATTGAACTTTGTGAATTGTTCTTAAAGCAGATAACTTCTAAGATTATTGCCTTTCAATTCCTCCATGTGTCAGGAATTTCATCTGGGTTTCTTTCGTATCACATGAGAAAATTGAAAGGCAATAGCAAGGGTTTCGTGGTTCTTTTGAAATACTATCATGGAGACTTATCCTCGTGAACTTTATAACGTCTCTTTGGCACACAGTTTGCGCATGGTAACGACGATCTTCGTCCTGTTCCCCGCCACCCGAAGTACAAAACAGAGGTAATTTCTAACTGGATGTTTTCCACTCTCCGAACTTGATGACATGGTTCAAAGTTTTGACCGAAGATAGGACTTCGTGGGCAAGCCGCAGAGGACTATACGACTTAACAAAGGTAGTAAACTTCTTAGTATTTATAATAGCTACCGAAATTTTAAGGACTCCCTATGGACTTGGAAAACTGCAGGAAAAAAAGGACCAGAGCAAGGTTATTCGAGAGTCTGACAAATTCAATTTTCTTGGATCTTGTGGCGTGTGTTCTTGCAGTTGTGTAGATCGTACACAGAAACTGGACTTTGCAGCTACGGCAAGCGATGTCGTTTCATTCACACCTCGGGTACTAATACACAAGTCTTCCTCGAGTCGAGAAATTTGGAGAAGAAAGGTTCAAGGAGATTATCAATATTTCAACAGTTATCAGGAGCCGGTGAGATGCCTCCAAGACAAGCTTGAAACGCTCCAAAGCTACTGTAAACAATCACTTTTGAATCAAATTTTAAGGGTAGTTTTGTGTAAATCGCTCCAGCTCGCCTCAGTTGCATGTCTTCCACAAATCGCACCTTCCTCAGTCTACTACTGCTCCACTCGCTCTGCTTCTCGACTAACGTCGGTGCTTTCTGTGGATCCTAATATCTGAGTTTATCCTAATGAAAAAAATTCATAGGAGCTTTCTCGATTACCCAAGTATATAGACTTTTTAGAAGTCTCAGAAGTGCGTTTCAGAGTAAGTGGCTGGCACGACGAATGATCCGAGGCAGTTATTTTTCCAAAGACAGTTTAGTGAATATGAATGTAAAGATATCACCCCACTAGTTTATAGTACTGTCCCTACCAGACGAGAACTGGTAAAACCGCACACTCAATGACCACGAACTGAATCTGCCCAATGGTTAAGACTTTCGATGAATCATTGCGAGTCGCCCTCGTAATCTGCGCGAATCTTCAGAAGCCTTGGGTTGTCCGAGGATTAGATTGTCTGCATTCCAGTCATAGAGTCTAAATATACAATGTTGATGTGTTCGATATCCACCTGCATGAGTGAGTCATCTGGATGATTGATGCTGCATTTCCTTGGAAAAACCACTTGGTTCCAGCTACCAAATCATTGCAAAACCTCGGCCCAAATTGAAACTATTGTTGGTTTGGACCCACTTGAACAAATATGCGGAAGGAATACTACCTGCGACGTTACTCACAGCATCACTAATACTGGACTTCATGTTGCTGCAGCACGTTGCTTGAAGCAATCAACTCTTGCGGTTGAAGAATCAGGCTCTGAGAACTATGAACAGCGTCATGTTGACATGATGACAATAACTAAAAAACATGTTGAAATACTAACAAAATCATGGACTGTTTCCTATGCTTCAGAAGGATAGGCTAAATCCAGTGAAGACCGCATTCTGATTGGCGCACTCCAGAACAAAATATCCTCCAGTGCGATACCGTGCCAAAGTTAAATTTCTAAGTTGTATGTACATTCTAATCTCTCAAACTCTTCATCGTTCTGGGCGGCGTATTACTCGTCTCCACCTTCATTGGGTAAAATTATATCATTGTCACCATCACCATCATCTTGTACAGAGTCTACCTGAAGAATTCTATCTTCAGTAGAGTCAAAGGAACTCTCTACACCAGCACTGGCAACTCGCTCAGGACCGAAACCTTCCAAGTCATCACCACCAATACCTTCCGCAGTACCACTATTTACACTAATTGGATGTCTCATTTCGACCTGAATTCATTCATTGAATTCACTAATGATATTTACGAGGTCCATGATGCTCATGCCCTCTGTTCGCCACAGCATCCTAAATCGGCCTTCCAAGGCTAGGAAGCCGCACCTCTTTCATACGGTGCTCAAGAGTATGCCGCTGGTTGAATCTTCCAACAACGCAACCAGATTCATAACACTTGCCACAAAAATCAAAACCAACAGCGTCTGGACAGTCTTCGCACTTAAATCGTTTCCCAATGATCGGCCTCATTCCGCAGCCATCACAACCAACTGTGGTGTGTATTGGACCATGTAGTTTTTTCCTTGTGCTCGCTTTCATTGAGACTTCATGGTCTGCGAACATCGACAGCTGCGATATGTTCTTCGGCCGTTCCCGTCTCTCTGCGGTGACTTGAACAGAGCGACGAGCATACTCTAGTGGGAAAATCTTGTCTATGTAATATTGAAGCTCTAGACATACTTGCGGAAACATTTCAGGATGCTCTGCTTTACATGAAGGACAATTTATCGAATCGTCATCGCCAACCACTATACAATGCTCACAAAATAAATGCCCACAATTTAAGACTACTGGTCGATAGAGAAGGTTACAGCAATGCGAGCAGGTCAAGTCCGAGGCTGTAATTACAAGATGTGAGAGTGAGTCATTCGAATCCTCGTCTTGTGTGGGCATTTCTTGAACCTCAAAATCAATTTCTGCTTCATCAGCCACAGGAGCTTTCCCTTTAGAAGAAGAACTGGGTTCGCTGATCAGTATGGGCCATACCAAATCCGTCTGCTTGGTAATACAAAGTTTGGTGACGTTGCTGCTAGAGGAATTCGGAGAGCAGACACTTCCCAATTCGGTACTCTGATTAGAAGAAACCACGGTCTCAGCATCAGCAGACGATGCTACTTCTGACGTCTTCCTCGAGGGAGTTACGAGCCTGTTGATATCAAAAGGTGTATTTCTGCTGCGGAGTCCATAATCATCAAGTTGAGGAGAGAAAACACCTCTCTCATCTTCCTCCTTCTGAACCTCTCTAGCTCGGTTAAGATACTTGTCATGGGCAGATTTGAGTAGGATGAAGTGAAGCTGTTCGCAAATTCGAGGGAAGTGCATGTAAGGTCGCCGGCAAAGAGGACAGAAACTTTTGAAATCGCCCCTCATGGCCTTGTTAACGCACCAAAAACAAAAATAGTGACCACATGCGTGCACTATAGGCTTGTAAACAAGCTCCATACAGATGATGCACTGAAACTGCTCCAACTCTTCATACGTCTCCATTTTACACGATTGACTACTGTTACCCCAGCAAAGCAGTCACGCATCATTAAGCAGTCATTCTCAGGGATTTTTCAGCTTTAACTGCTGTCAAAAACATAGACATCAAACCCATTCTCTTCACACTCCTCTCTCTCGACAAAAAGTTAAGTTGAGTCAAATTAAATTGAAAGAAGAACCGAATTCAATTCAAAATCCAGAATTATGTTCAACTTTCCTCACATAGCTAAAAAAAAAACTTGATATCCCCTGGACTTGGGAGTTATAATTCAACACGAGTACACGTATTAAAGTTGCGCAAACTCTGTAGGTTAATTTCACCATGAACAAAGCATCATTCACCTGCAGCACCAGCACCAGCACCAGATACTCAGTAATCTGCAAGAGGCACAGCGATTATGAATTAGAACAGCTTCTTAGCAAGACAAAAAGTAAAAAAAACAAAAAAAACAAAAAAAACAAACAAACAAACAAACAAAACAAAAACAAAATCAAAAAACACACCGTCTGTCGCAGAAATACCTCTGTGCAAGGCACCACAACCACCACGACGAAGAAACTCGACAAAATTCACGACGAGCGCCACGACCTAATTAAAATCACAAACCGCCAACACGAAGCCAAGAACCGACAGCGGTCCGGACTACCGAATGTCGAGAGAGAATCAACAACACTCAGATGCTTAAGATAATATAGCAACCACAACACATACATAGGATGACGAGGCTCCCCTCAGTCGAACCGGAAATTGTGTACCTGCTGCGAGAGGCATCGGAATCAAATAGCAGGGCGAAGAAAACGCCTGAATGGAAAGTATCGCACCGCAGCCAGCGTCCTTCCTTCCGTCCTTCTGTCCGTCCGTCCGTCCTCCAAGGAAGGGAGCGTCCAGGCAGAGCAGCAACAGAAGAAGTAGGAGAGCGGCTGCGACAGCGTCAGCGGCGACATGGTCGCGGTGGTGCCGATGCCCCATGAGAAAAAGTGGCGACAAGCTTCGCAGCATCCTTCTTTACAGCATCACGCAAAGAATGACCTCGTCCTACGCAACAACGAAGCCAGCCCCCCCGCTCCGTGAATGAATATCATTCCTTAACTATTGTCTTTTAATAAATATCATTCGTGGATGAATTGTGGGCTGGTCCCCACTCGTCCAGCCCCCGCCCCTTTGGTTTTTATTCATTTCTTTTTCTTTCTGGTTTTAGTGTCTTTTCTATGTTTAGTGGATTCATGCTTTGGTGCAACTGATGTGGACTGAGTATTACTGGATTGCAGTGGGGGTGGAAAAGTGGACTGGAGAGGGAATGGGACACAACGAAAGATAAAGAGAAGACATTTACGACTCGTGTAAGTGTAATACTGGGTGTTTTATCTATAAAGATTATATAAAAAAGTTTGAAACTACATATCTATAAGTGACTTTATATATATATATATATATATATAATTGATCTGCGTGTCCCCATTTTGCTCTACTCCGACTATGCTGAGGGCATTGTATTCTCTCGCAGCTTTCTTAATTTTGCACTAAGTGATGTGTTGATTCTGCACAGAAGTGAGAGGTAGTGAATAAAACTCTTGGTAAGGATCGTAATTGAACGATTTGAAGAAAGAGCGAGTAATTTGAGTGTGAGAGGTTAGCTATGATGGTAAAAAATAGGCAACATGAAGACTATTTTATATCTTAAGGAAGTTAGGGAGGTATTGGGGGGTAAATTGTGAAAAAAGATTGGGAGGAGAGGTATAACAAGAAGAGAAGTTTTTGAAGATGATGATAGATGAAAACATTTAACAAATGTTTGTTTTCTTACTGATAATGGATTGATTTAAGGTTTAGGTGGATCGATTTGATATTCCCCTGTATAATATATATATATATATATATATATATATATATTTCTTATGCTTGAATTATATGTGCATTGATATGATAAAATAACAAAAGAACTAAAAGTAGTATGCATATTTTTTAAAATTTTTTTTTAGCTCTGTTGTTATTATCATTTTTTTTTTTTTTTTTTTTTATCATTTCATGTATTAAAAAAATAATGCTTGACATGAAGTAGAATCATTTTGCATGCCTATTGCTAATGTGTATACATTTTGAATGATTGTTGGAGTTATTGCTAAGCTGTAAAAGTGTTGTAATATACTTATATAATATATTAATGTCAATTTCATATTTTTAAAAGTTACAATAAAAATATCATTATCAGATCATTCATTTTTTTTAAAAGTATCTAAAATCATGTTTTAGAAATTACATTTAATCTTCAGTATAGAGATAATTACATAACAGAAAAACTAATTTTAAAGTCTTATTGTTCTATGAATGATATAACAACAAAGATGCTTCTTTAGTGGATAAGTTATAATCATATAAATACTATGTAGTCTAATTATATACCTTTGAAGTCAAGTTAAGTAAAAGGTTGGATTAGGATAAAATATCAAATAAATAAGTCATCTAAACTTTGAACTTATTCTATCAAAAAAATTATGAAAAGAAAATTGGTTGCTTTGAAAGAAAAAGAAACTCATTCTTATATTAGTTTTTTTGTAAGTAATAAATAATATTTCATTATTTTTTCAATTTGGAAATATTTATAGAGGAATATTAAATCCACATGGGTAAATTCTAAATTGTTTCACCTTTGTTCTTACCATCTTGAACCATGTTTTGACTTCCTCTCTCCATTCATTTCATTCCAACATTTGACTCTCCTTGATGGAGCCACAAAAAAAGCAAAAATTCTCAATCAATTTGGTCACTCATTGTGCATGCATTAGGTACACACAATATAATTGTGAATGAGAAAAAACATTAAATAATAATAATAATAATAATAATCTTGAGAGATACAAAATTGAGAGATGAATGAGGGAAGGTGATCTTCTCTAAGAATATTTGACATAGAATATGATGGTAAGAGCAAAGATGGATTGATTTGAGATTCTCCATGAACAGCTTATATATTCCCTTGCTTTGAGAGTGGTTTATAGTGTCATCGATCTAAACAAACATATTTCACCTAAAAGTTTTTAATTTATTCTTGCATTAATATAATAACATTTTTTGTTTTTGTTATTTTTATTTTCTTTTAATTTTAATTTTCTTTTCATAATCTAATTGCATTCCTCAAGAGAAAGTCACCAAATAATTGAGCATAGAATCAACTTTAAAATAGATAATAATAAATTAATAATTACTAAAATGAATTTAGTTTTACTTGTATTTGTAATAATTAGAAGGCTAATGAGCTTGTTGTCCATGCGTCTAAAAAATTGATGCACAGCTGTCAATTATACCTTCTTATACAAATTTATTGACAAAAATTGTTGCCTTCACTTCTACTTCTTTTTGAAAAATCACAGAATATTGAAGAAGTTTCCAAATAATCTTTAGATTTTATAATTCAACTACATATATAAACAAAACTTTATATTTGTGAGATATTAATTCACATCAACAGGTGATAAAAGATAGTCAACCTTATTATGTAAACTTTTTTTTTTAACAACATTTATACAATAACAAAATTTCCAAACCTATTGTAGATTTTATGTATATATATATATGTACATATATGATTTATTAAATTAATTATTTTATGAATTGAAGTAAATTAATAAAATAGATTTTTTTTTACATACATTTGATACTTGTAGCACATCTCTTTGTAAACATTTTATATTATATAACAACTCATTTCGAATGATGCCTGTGTGTGCATGTGTGTGCATATATATATATATATATATATATATATATGTAATTTCATATTGATACTTTATTAAAATTTCAGGTGATATTTAAAATAAAATTTTGAATTTTCATAAGCTTAAATTTAAATATAGACAATCTTTTGTTGTAGAATTTGAATTATATTTCAATGATATTTTCACAAATAAAAGTTCTATATGTGCTTCTTTTTTTCTTTTCTTTTTTTCCTTTTTTTTTTTTTTTCTGAAAATATCCATATAAGTATATTCAAACTATAGAGTAGTGATAGATTTCTCCGATCTTGGTGCAAAGAACAAAAACATAAAATTGAATTGAATTAAATTAATAAAATTTTACATAATTTTTCCACAAACGTAATCATGGTGCAGTATATTACAAACATATCATATATATATATATATATATATATTCTTATAAATGTTATAAATTTGTGACTTTTTTTTTTGTTTGTTTTTTTTGCTTTTTTATAAATGAAGTGATTATCTTCAAAACTCTGAATGTGAGTATCACGACACCATCATCAAATTTGGTTTTCAAGCATATTTATTATAAAATGTATTTATGGATCCCATTCTGCAAAAATAAGGCAGAAGCGTAGGTCATTGCATTATTAGTGACTTAGAAAGTTCGTGAGGGGGCGGATAGTAAACCAAGTGGATATGACATCCACGTGGCCAGATCCAAGTCCAACGGCTATTTCTGCCACGTCAGATCCCGCCATAATGGCCAGGGCGCTTACATACGAGGGACTCAGTCTCTTGTGGCCTTCCGCCACTCGCGCTTGTGCCCGCAGCCTCGCTCTGCCCCTCTGGTGCTGCATCGCGTTGGTGAGGTCCACTATCGCTGCTTCACCTGTTTTGCGGTATTCGAATCTGGGCTTCGGTCTTACACGTGATTCCGAAGTGATTGTGGGGCGAAGATGGACTCCAAGAGGAGCACTACCCGTAGCCGCCGCGCATCTCTTCTTCCTGTGTCCCCTATCAAACAAGGTTTCATGATTTCTCGCTTCTTTCATGACTTTGATAGCAGGCAGACGATGGGATGGATTCGTTCGACCACCTGGTGGTTCTGATGCTTGCATCAGACCCGGTGTGGCTCAGATGTGGATATTGTTTTGCGTTGATGTGTTGAATTTGGCTTTTGAGTGAAAGGAAAGTGGCATTTCCTTCCAGTCATAATGTTTGGGTCTGTTTTGTGGAGTAGCCGGTTTGTGGTGCTGAATTGTAGTGCTGCATTGGTTTGCAGCTTTGATGGCCAGCGTCATGGCTGCAGCCAAGCCCAATGGGAAGAAAAGTACGCGCAAGCCGCTGGCAGATAAGACGAACTCTTCTCGCGTTGCTGGACCGACGCCTGCCAAGTCAGGAAAGAAGGCAGCAGTTGTTCAGGAGAAGAAGGGAGTGTGCACTCCGCGCCGCAAGGTGCAATCTCCTGAGCAGCCTGCAACGCCAGTGATGCGTGGTGAGGATGTGCTTCGTTCTGTGGTGCATCGCAACCTGGCGATGATCCAGACCCCAGCCAATGGCGATCCTGACACACCCCAGTTTCGTGTCTCGAGGCTATCATTATGTAGCGACGTTCCGGAGCCAGTGGCAACAGCCGAACTTTCCACATTGTCTGAGCAGGTGAGCGTGTACTTTCAACAAAATTTAGGGTTTTAATTTTTTTAAAATTCTCTTGCAAGGATTGTAACAATACGGGATTTCTACAGAAGACTGTGTGCATATACGAGTTGTTTCTCGTCGCGTGCGCGATACTGACTGCTATCATTCTGATGGAGCTTGCTTTTCTCAGAACGGGCTTTGCGATGGTAGGCAAGCCGACGCCTTAAGTGAGACCTCGCCGTATTGCGAAGTGACCTCTATCTCGGAGTCGCCATCACCAGGAGTTGATCAAAACTGTCCCATGATAAAGGACGTTGGTGAGGTTGCACCTGACTTGTTGGACCTCTCCCTCAACAACCCTAGGATACCCCCAACTACTGACTTCAAGTGGCGGCGAAGGGAATCCGCGAAGGTGCAAGAGGTAGAAGAGAGCTTCAACCACGGCGAGAGCGAAGATGACCTGTTTGAACAAGAATTGGAACAAGTGGAGTGCGATGAGATCTGCTACGGGATCAGTCGGATCAGAGTCGCAGAAGGACTCCCGGAGTTCCAAGGCCGACACACCCGCTTCAACTACAACACCGACGATGAGGTTGACATCGAAGTAGTAGATGGTAAAACCCACCGCAACCCCAGAAAAGCCATGTTACTAATCATATTCCATGTATGCTAATCTAGTATTCGTATGTCACTGAATGACTGAATTGTGGGACTCGGTTGTGATTACAGGGATGAGGCTGAGGGGTCTTCCAACACCGAAGGGCAAGCACCTGAGATTCTCGGCAGACGAGCAAGGCGCGTCGCCATGAGCGGGTAATGCTTCTCGCAGGCATTGTCAGACCGCGGGTCCAGCTCTGTAGATGTGCAGATCGGTGGAGCCAGCATTGCGGACTGAGCCCCGATGTGTCGGCCTCGGTTCCGTGGCGGCGGGGGACCGACAGTGTGATCAATCCCGTCTTTCGCCGCCACGCCCCACCACCGTCGATTCCCGCTCGTCATCCCACGGCTCCGATCGGATTGAGGTTTTTGTACCCTACCCACTTCGGGATGATCTACGAAGGTGAGATGAAGTGAACCAGAAATAGAACCGGAGAGTTTATTCTTTTAGCCAACAAAATTTGGCATTATATGTGTATATATATATATATATATATATACACACGCACAATTAATGTCACCGGGGGAAGTCTGTTTCATGTTGATTCTTTTCAACGTGTAAACAATTCGTTCATTAGCTGATTGTACTACTGGTTTCTGATTAAAATAAAAACCCAATTTTGTCGAAAAGTAAAGTTGAATACATGTGTCCTTTTTGCTGTTACGTGCGAAAACTTGGAAACTAGGTGATGTTAACGTCTTGGATTAGTTGAAGTACTTTATTTGTATCATCATGTTGATAAAGAATTTGAAACAAACAATTTGTCACTTACGCACTTATCAAAATATATATATATATATTTATGTGTTTGTGTGTATATTATGACATTGATTTTTTTGGTCAATTTTCTGAATTGAAGTTCTATTTTTGTGTGTAGCGGAAAACACGCACACAATATTCTATTTTTTTTGAATGGTCCACAGCAGTTTTACAGTGTGTAAAAAATAATTACGGTTCTGACAAGTATGTCTTTTGAATATTACAGATCGTAGAAAAATTTCTTAACATCGCAAGAATTTTACAGTTCGAGAACTAGACTTCCAAACACAATCTCCAGAAGGGAAGAGAAATAATTCTTCTTCAATTTAATCGTTGCATTAATTTTGTATTTTTTTCATAGAAAATTCTTTTAAACGTTTTTTATTTTTATTTTTCATTTTTGAGATGATGATGATGTATTAACAGCAATTCTTGTTGGTAGTATTTGACCTTCGTAAATTTTTCAAATTTGCAAGTGTAAACATTTTTTTAACTTGAATATATGTACTCAATAGTAACAAATTTTATCAGATGACAGTAAAAATTAGTGAAATATTATGAACTTGAATTGACTAATTCAATATGCATTTAACAATTAGAACAACAAAGCTATATACTCTTATCACTCTTAATTATCAAATTTGATTTTGTGTTGTCTATAAATGACCAAGAATTCAAAGAATCTGGAACTGAAATCCTTCCACTATTCAAAGGGTTTTAAAAAAATCTCTTTCTACAAGTAATTCCACATACACATATTAAAAATAGAACAAAATAATGTTGCATAGAATATCATTGAAAAAAAATATTACTGAGAAAAATAAACAACTTATTTAATACACAAGAGAGCTATCATGATACAAAATGTATGTATTTGTAAATATATAACAATATTGGATAAGCTTTCCTATTTACAAAAAAATAACCATCCAAAAATAAATAGAATTTGTACATAATAAATTCTCAAGTGATTTTTCTTCTTTTATGTCCATAAACTCTTAGTATCATTTTGGAAGTTGGAATAGAAGAAGAATAAAAAATTAAACAAATAAAAAGAGTTTATTTATTTGCTATGACTCTACAAACTTAAATATAGATGGTTCTTGAGTTAGGAGCTAAGTATTTGGTAGTAAGTTTGGATCTTGGTTCTCTATTACAATAATCACCTAGTACTAATGATGAGTAGGGATGAATGTTTCAACATCTTCTCTCATTTCAAAATTATCTACAAACATTTGACAAAAAAAACTACTATTATTCTAAGAGCCATAATTTTATATTTTCAAATATTTTGATAGCTTCTTGTAAATGACCATGGTTTATTTTAGGGATTTATTGTTGGAGGTTGTGGAGTTTGTTGTAGTAGTCCTCCCTTTTTTTTATATACAAGTGTCTTTCCTCAGAGTATTGGTTTTTCTTCTTACAATATCCTTGCTTGGTGTATCCTATCTGTTTTGTTTTCTACAATCCCAAGTTGTGATAAGGAGCCTTATGAAGAATAAGAAATTGCTTTGCCAAGTACAAGGAGATGATACATATTTTTTTGTTTGGATAGTCAATATAAGCAATATTTTGAGACTAATTTTCAAGAATCTTACAATGTTGTTGAATTCTAGGATTGTGGTTGTAACTTGGAGTTTTTTAAAGATGATATCCTTAAATTAGAAGATATTATAGAACTTAAGCAATCTTCATCGATAAGTATTTTTTAAGAGAATGTCTGATATGGACTTAAAAGTTGTGTTGGCTTAATGTGTTCATTGCAAGAAAGTTACATACCATATGATAATTTGGTTTGTTTCTTGATACCTACAATTTTTGAATTTCTCTTAAGATCTAATTAATCAATAGAGGCTTTTGCATTAGGGCATGTGAATGCAGATGCTTTAAAAAAAACTAATAGATATTGAATTTGAAATTTAGTATGTTATAAGTGAGTTCATTTTGGAAGAGACAATTTTACAAAAATTTTACCTACTTGTGTACGTTTATTAACTATAGATTAGTAGTAAGTTGGATCAACAATGTTTTCATTCATGTTAAGAATAAATTTTAGTCTCTTAACCATGTGAGTGGAAACAAATTGACAACCTTTAAGGCCAAAATGACAAATTATATATAAGGTATAAATTTTTTGAGTCAAAAATAGTCCTTATGCTACTTTGATTATTTCAGCCTTAAGGTAGAGTATCATATCATTCTCTCCTAATTCTAACATTTCAAATTTTGAATCTAATTGTAATTTGAACCAAGTGATGTAATTCATACAATTGCCTCTAAATAAAAGATTATCTATATAGAAAATTAGGAATAGGATTTTTTAATGATAGTAAATTACATAAAGATTGTAGTCTCTTTCTCCTTTTATAAAGTCTTGATTTTGAAGGAAAGAATTGATTTTTATTGTACTAGATCTTTGGTGTTTATTGTAGTCCATAAAAGACTTTATGAAGTCAATATACAAGGTGTTCTTATCCTTCAACTACAAATCCTTGAGGTTGTATAATGTAGATTTCTTCCTTGACATCACCATGAAGAAATGCAATCTTTACATCTATGTGGTAAAGATGCCATTTGTTCTGTGAAAAAAGAGCTAGGACCATGCAATAGGTATCCCATTTTACTATCAGAGTAAAAGTCTCTTCATAATCAAGTCCCACTTATTGTTTAAAACCTCACACTACTAAACATGATTTATAAGTGTCCAACTAATGATATTATCAATGATTTTTTTGAGATAGCTTGGTATCCTAAAAGAAGAGTAGTGAGTGACCATGTTTTTTTCTTATGAATGGATTTGATTTCATCAACCATTAAATTTTTCTGGCCTCTGTCCTAAGCTACTTCCTAATAAGACTTTGATTTAATAGATAAGTTTAAAAGGTTGGAAAAGTAGTCTTGTAGCTAGGCTAGGCACTTTGTGATATAACAAGGTTGTGTAGGAGGATCAAGTGATTTTTGTTGTCTAGATCCATGGAAATTTTCAGATTGAGGTGTATCAAGGCCATCTTTGGCATATGACAAAAGATCATTGATAACATCATTAGTTGGGCACTTATTGACAATATTGAGCTCGAGAAGATAAAGAACAAAGTTAGTTGAAGGTAGTTTGGTATCACTTAGAGGTAAAATAGTGGGTGATTTCATATTTAATAAAGTATTGGTGTTATATGTCATTAAATTTTTTGATGTTGGTTGCTCCTTTGGATTTGATTGGTGATTAGTAAGCTATATATTATACGTTGATATCACTTGTATACATGGTGGATTTAGAGATAGTAGAGTATCAAAGATATTTTTAATATTGGCATTACCATATTCTCTAGTATTAAGTGACAATTAAGAATAACTAGTTTCAAAATCATTGGTGGTGAATTCTGGGTTGTTTTGTTTAATTTTAAGAAATCAAGTTTTGTCAAAAAATACATCATGAGTAATTTGAATTTTTTTGATAGTTAATGAGTAAACCATATATTCTTTTGAGGCATCGTTTAAACCAAGATAGATGCCCAAACTAAATTGGGCTTCTAACTTGTGATTTTGTATGTAATTGCAGCATATAAAGCAAAAGCAATCAAATATTTTGATTTTGTAGAAGTTGGGGCTTCTACTTACAAACAATTCATAGGAAGAGCAACCTCTATTTGACTTAGTAGGATTAGAATTCATAAGTTATATTGCTATGTGCATTGCTTTGGTCCAAAAAAAAGATAATACTTATCTATCAAGGAGCATTGTATAGACTCTATTGAATACCATGTAATTCTTCTATTCAAATACTCTATTCTATAAGGATGTCCAAGCCATACTTAATTATTGAATAATGCCATTTTGCTAAAAGTAATTTGTGAAGTAGACCAATGTAAACTCACCTTTCTTGTTAGATCTCATATATAATATTTGGTGTGGGTTTTGTTTTTCTATCATATTATGAAATTATCAAAATATATCCAAAGTTTAATCCTTCATTGCCATAAAATAAATCCAAGAAAATTAGCTATAATTGTCAATGTAAAGAATAAAATATTTAGAATGACTAGGAGATTCTATGAGAAGGAATCTACAAATATTTGTGTCAATGAAAGCCATTATAGATGTTGTTCTTATAAAGGATTTCTTCAAAATCTTTTGACAAGTCTGTTTTGCTTTGTAACAAATGAGATAGATTTGGCTTATTACTAAAGAAGAGGAGATGCCAATTGCTAACTATTGTGTGGTGAGTGTCTTTAAACTTTTGAAATTCAGTTACTTCATTTGTTCATACTATAAGTTGAATTAATTTTTTGAAGTTATATTGTTTAGCTCAAAGTCTATATCAACCTTCGAGATTGATCTACCATACACTATGTATATTATAGATAGTAGTGAATAGTTGACATTGAAATTTTGTATAAAATATTCTAATTTGTGCTGGTCATTTGATTGATTTTGAAAACCTTTTGCAACTATGTAATGTGGTTTTTGAAAAGATATAACATTACATGTTGTCAGAGTAAATAGATACAAGTTTCTCAAATCAATTATTTGTTCTACTTATAAAATGTTTTTGTATAAGCCAAAAATAGAATAAATATCCTTTAGATTTTTTATTTTACCATTTGGCAAAGAGAAGTCAGTTGATCCATAGATTGTTATTATATGAAAGTATCCTCTTGTGGATGTAATGGTGGTTCCTTCTGAGTGGTCAACTTTGTAAATAGCTATATAATCTCCTAAGAAATGCCTAAATGCTCTAGAATCTAGGATCCAATTGATATTTGGTTGGTTGATAGTGAGTACTTCTAGTGCTTTTATAATCTCATCATTACTAAATTTAAGTAATTATGTAGAAATTATTTCACCAATAGAATCTTTCATGAGGTTGATTCGAAGATTTGGTATTGAACTTACACCATTTTGATAATTGTGCTGAGAACTACAGTTTCCTTCCAAACGATTTGTATAGTAGTAAGAAGCATTCAAAGATTGATACGGCAACAATGTTGGTGCATTATAGATTTGAAATGTATATCCGATTTTCCCACAACCATTGCAAGTAATGAAGTAAAGAGGTTGGCCTTCCTAAAAATATCAATGTGGTTGTCTATTTCATTGCAATCTAGGTTGGTGAATCATGTGGTTTCAATTTATTTTTTTATTATAAAGGTTACAAATCTTTATCATCAATACTTCCTTAGGTGCTTCTTAAGATCATTACAAGATGGCATTGGTTTCTTCCATATATAGTCTATTCTATAGTTTCTGCAAACTCAAAATTTTCTTTTCAAACTATATGTGTAAAATTAGCTTCTTGAACCTATGAATCAATTCATTCAGTATATATATATATATTCTATATACTACTACTTTGTTGGATTATACTTGCTTGATGGGTTTGAGATCTCAAAGGATATCATTTTACTTGTTGTATAAATGTAGATATGTCTTGTCATTCTTCTATCCATAGATGTTTCCATCCAAAGATGTTCCCATTGATTTAATACAACTATAATATTTGAGATGGTATTTGTACAAAACATGATACTCAACATATTCCAAACTTCTGGAGGATCTAAAATATCAATTATATTGTGGCATAGGTCCAAAACTAGTGATAGCTAAATCATAGATTTTACTCTTCTCTTGTGACAAGTGGTTTCATTATTAGATTGTTCGTGATTTGATGATTGCTCAATCTTAGTATAAGGTTCAACATGCAATGATGCCATGGTTGATGTTAGTGGCTCAATGAGATCCCACAAATCTTCATTCTCAAAAATACTTTGGAGTGTTATAGCTCAATGCTTATTATTCTTCAATCCTATAAGCATAGTCTCAAGGTTATATTGACTCTGTCAATCTATACAAATCTGTTGTTTTTGAAAAGAAATAAAAGGGGATCAAATACCAAGGAGATTGAGATGATAGATCTGAAAAAACAGTGATTAGTAGCATAACCAAAGGAAGTATGTGGGCAACAGAGAGAGACAAGCGAAAAAAAAAAGAAAAAAAAAAAGAAAAAGGAACTTCCGCTTTGATACCATGTAGAAGAAGAATAAAAAATTAATTGCTGCAACACTACAGCCACAGACTTGAATACAAATGGTTCCTGGGTTAGGAGCTGAGCATTCGGAACTCTGTTCCCCATTACAGTAAACATCTAGCACCAATGATTAGGAATGACTGTTCCAACAGTTGGAACATTTCAGAATGCCATCTCCTCCGCATTGTCCTATGATCAAGAGATCCACTCCTTGGACAAAAGTACATAAATTAGTTCTTAAAGTAGAGAAACCCAAATACTCGTTCTTCCGTTAGGCAGCCGTAACAAATGAAGAGATGGCAGTTTTTGAAGCTATTTCTTGATCGTTGTGAATCTCCAAAGCTGTGATAACGAAAAGGTGGACAAATAGAGGCGATCTGATTTTCCTAAATCTACAGAATCACCTTAGGGAACCGCAAGCCTAAGTAACATTTCTAAGCATACTTTTTTATGTAGTCCGTGCATACCAACTTGGCAATAAATTATTTACTTAAACAAAACTTTAACTTTGCTTCCGTTCAGATGAAATGATTGCATACAGCAGAGGAGAAAATGATTCATAATTTGGGAAATATGTTTATTGAGCCTCTTACAAAATGAAAAAAGCGCTTTTCGCAGACACTAACACTAGTAGATACTTGAAGCGCAAATAAAGGCTTTAGAATTGGAAAGAGCAGCGCACTGCAACAATGATTGTACTAAAAATTGTAGTATTGACTGGAATGCATATATAATCACAACTATACAGTTTAAGAAAGTCAGCGGCAGACATTCTACCAGAGTTTACTGCTTTCATAGCAATGCATATGGAACTCCACCAGTATGAAGAGGCTACCAAGAAAAATCAAATCGGGTGTGCTAGGAACAGTCTCATCAACGTTGAGACTATTCCCACTCCCCCCAATCCTGAAAAAGCCAACGAAGTTCATATAAGATAACGCTTCATCAGTATACAACACCATTGACCACTTCAAATCACCAAAGTTTGTCCATAAGATAAATGCATCAGGAATTAGAAATTTTGTGGTCGATTCTCTTCGAAAGAACAGTACCTCCTCATTCTCCTCGTTAGTTACATCATGATCTTTCAGAGTTGATACTTTCTTTTCTTCTTCCTTGTTCTGAACAGGAACCTCTACACCATCACCAAGGCTCAGGTCTCCAAGTTGGTCCAGTTCAGCTTCATTCACCTCATGATCCTCAGGTTTTTTAGGTGTAGAGGACTCAGTTTCCTTCCTACAGAATCAAGGAAGCCGAAAAATGTTAAAAAAAAAAGGAGGAGCATATTATAAAAGTTTCGCTCCGACCTTCGAAATTCATGATTGAGCTTTCAACATTGGTCAGTGACGAAAACAAATACAAGGCCTGAGAAACATGCAACTCAGTAGAGGTATTCGGGTTATCAAACATTATCTGGTAAAGCCAGTACAAAATATAATGCTGAGATCGATTCTTTGAAAGATAAGATACTAAAGACTCTTTCAAAAGATACACCAGTGTTATCTAGAACAACGTATGAATCATGACATACCTCTCTGAAACTGGTGATGAGGGTGATGTCTTGGGCTCTGAACTTCCTGACCCCTTGCCTTCAGAGACAACCAACCATTCACTTCCTGCACTTCCCTCACTTTTTACCTCCTCCTCATCATGAACATCTGTAGTCATGCGAAAAGGACATGGAATCAGATTTCTGTCGCACACATGAAACTAGCATCCTCCGGAAGATCCGGATGAAAAATGAACACACTGTAGTTAAAAACACATGCGTTTATAAGGAAAAACTCGTCTACACACATAGGCATGAAATCATGGTGTTGATTCCATAAACATTCACCTCATACCAAGGAGCTTTGAAAGATAAATTACAGAGGCATTATTGAAATGCTGAAGTCCGCAACAAATCACACATGAGAGGCATTGGACACATAACATGTTTTACCAAACAAAGCTCATACACCATCTGTCCCTGTTTTTAAGAGACCCCATCAAAAACAGTCAACAGGGTAAAACGCTGAGATTAGAAACCTCCAGGAATATCTTACCCTCAGCGGAAGAAACCAAAGGATCTTCAACACTTCGTGTAGGTAAAATAATTTCATTCGGCTTATTATCCTGCACTACAGTTCCAGCAGGAACAACAGGTTCATCTACCTGTATCTCTTCATCTTTCTCTTCATCAACATCCCAGCTAAGATCTTCATCCTCCTCTCCATCAATTGCCCCTGTTTCACAATGATCAATTCAATAAAAGCCCCTAGCAAACTTCGTCACTGCATACTTCCAAGTAGAAGTCTAAAAAAAATTGAAACAAGAAATGGCTACTAAACGAACTTACTTTTGACAAGCTTGACCCGAGCATTCTCTATCTGTTGCAGCTTGTTAAGGCGATAGAAGTAGCGGGTCCAGAAAGTGTCATACTCCACCAGACTTGGCACTGGACCCAGTAAACCACAGCAGTATTAAATAGCCCGCCTGGCTCAATCATGGGAAAATAAAAGCAAAGAAGATACCAGTTCTTAGTCAATGTGATTATCTTCCATAGCCTGCATACACTTAATCTAACGTTGGGCTTTATTGTAATAAACTTCCACGAACTGTGAGACTGCAAAAATCCATTTGTGCACTACAGAAAGGCATCCTGACATGATATCAGCACAGTCATTTGCAATAGAATAACATCACTGTCAAGGTTACGTCGTCTATGCAGTTGCGCGCGCGCGCACACACACACAAACCCCCCACCCCCAAAAAAAACAGACAAAAAAGAAAAAGAAAAAGAAAAAGACGAGCTTAAACCGCAAGACTAAGTACTGACGAACGAAACTCAAAGTAGAACACAAACAACGAAGTATTGTATTATACCAATCTGATTTTGAAGCTCTTTCATGAACGGAGAAGTCGCCAGAATTTGTTCAATCTCTCCTTTTCTGACCAGCAGAAGAAACATTTGGTTAACTCCAACACATTGAGAAACAAATTATCTAGATGGTACGGTTCAAAAACATCTGTGGAAATACAGCACGAATTTACACAACCAGCTGCTCAGATCCAATCAAAAGACATGAAATTTGCGCCATCTGAAACAGGGAAACAGTCGATTTATCAAAACTTATCATCATTGTATCAACCCAAGACAATAAAACAAAAGTAGTACCGATCATCCAGATTGAAGGTAGCGACCCAAGAGGCAAAATCATTTTCGTCCTCAGGTTCATCGTAGTAGGTGCTGCTATCTCTCTGCATTGCATGCACCTGTCACGAAATAATGCAGGGAGAACATTACACCTTTAGACTTCAAATTGTGGAAAGAGACAAAGTAGTCATCGTTGGCTTGAAATCCATTGCAACCCCACGTTGCGCTATAGCAAACACGCCATGCTATTGTAACATGTCATGACAACGCACACAATGGTCTTACATGGTTTTGAACAGTTGATCCTATTGATCCTAAACAATACAATCAGGGCAACCGCTCGCAAAACTTACGGAAAAAGCTGCAACCAGACAACTAGATCATATGAAAGGAAGAATCTGTCTGAAAATATCTACAGATTACAACGTCAAACCGCAGCAATAGTATTAATAATCCGGAATGGAAAATCACAAGTTACTATTCGTCAGTACAAGATACCTGGGACTCATAACGGCTGTACTTCCTGCAGTTCAACAAATGTAGACTGGTCAATTGACAGATCCTCACACAGAAAACTAACTCGTCGAAAAATAGTCGTGCACCTTCTAGGATTAAACGATGTTGCTTAAGGCAAAAGAGACATAGGACTATTTCAGAATGTGATCAAGTTGTAATGAAACGAAACATAGAAAATAACAGCTAGAAAGTTCACGGACGCAACTTAACCTTCAACTCATACCACATACATAGGCAAATGACATAATTCGGTGACCAGATGGAGGAAACAAACTATCACCTGAAACCAACACCCATCCTAAAATAGAGACACCTAATTACAATGTTAGGAGAGTATGTCTAGGATTGCGAACGCAGTCTCACGTATTTGAATGTGAAGCTGATGAATCCCCCGTTGAAAGATAAGATTCAAGGCCAGAATTCCCCTCTGCATCTTCATCAACAGTAAGAACTTCTTTCACTTGTGCAAAAATTTCTGTGGTTCTGTAAAACACCCAAATATCGACGAAAATCACTATGAAGATCCCTTCTAAAGATTAAATAGTACTGATTGAAATTGTCGAAAGAAAATTTTATGCTAGAAATTATGTTATGAGTTTGCGGAGAAATATAGAAAACATAACAGTAGCTCAAGTATTAGAGCCGTTATCGACAATAGTGAATAAGAACAGGATGTAACATACCCTTTCCAAACTGTGCTCCCAAAGACCTCTAAAGTTTGACCAACTGTCTCCAGTGACTCCTGAAGCACGACCAGAAAAAGGCATAGAGTTCTTATCAGAAACACAACTCCGAAAAAAATGTGCATCAATTCTTTCAAGGCTTCAAGTTTCAGACTGAACGAATACAACAGACCAACTACTGAAATCATGGGCACCAGACAACAGAAAAGGCGCAAAACAGACTCAAGAGAAAAGTGGCAAAAGCTAAGCAAGATGAGTGTGAGAATGCTGTAATAGATAATCCTTACTTGTGCCACTGTGGCGCCTGTTTCTAAGGTCGAAGGGAGGTCTTTGACAACATGAGCTGTGGCCCCCGTGATCACTTCTGTTTCTTTCTTCAACCCGATTCCAAATTCCTTCAAATCATGTTGATATGTTTGAAGCACCCCGCCAGACTGTCAATGCAGAATAAAAATTAATCTCCGTGTAATATCAGTCACATGATCCAGTATATCATGCAGTCAGAAATAATTTCAACCCGAAGAGGACATCCTTCATAATAAGGGATATTCAATGCTTTAAGGTTTCTGCTCATTCAGGTTTCGCTCCTAAAAGACTCAAAGAAAAAGAAAAGAAAATGCCTAGGTATGTAAAAGTAATAATGACAATTGAGTAATAACCACCTTTTCCGCAATGGTCTTCATGAAACCCCCAAAGTTCCAGCCACTGAGTATTCACGGGAAATTGAAAATTAGACCTCAACAATCTCAAAAAGGATAGTTATCTAATGTGTTAAACAACACCATCTGTATTTATACAAGTACAGGGAACGACGTTGAGTGAAAGGTTGCATACGCACCTTGATTGCGACTCTCTTGGGGATTCCTGCTCCTTGTTCGTCACATCATCATCATCATGCTCCTGAGTCAAGAAACAAAAAGGTTATGATCCGCAAAAACTTTGAACCATGACGCCAACAATGTATCCATGCTTTGGTGAGAATCCAAGTTCCAATACTACACTAGCTAAGGCGTGAAATAACTCTCAGCAATCATCAACAAACAAAATTCTTGTCCAAGCAGAGAGGCAGTGAGTACGGTTTAGGCAGTAAGATGAGCACCAGTGAAGATGCTCCAAAAGGCGAATTTAACCATACTCAGTTTTTCCCATCGAACGACAATCATGCTCAGAACACGAGGCTCTATAACGAAGAAGACGTAGCTCACAACATTCAATCACATCGTCCGACAAGTATTCTATCATGGCCATTTAAAATCGAGTTGCAAATCATGTGTAATGATGATGATGATGATGATGATGATAACGAAGACGACGATGACGACGATACACCTACACGTAGAATGTTATACCATCCAGTCCTCAACTAAACAAAAGCCACATGTACATGGTTCATCTTATATCCTATGAATCCCAAAGGCTCTTGTGGACACTGCAACATAGTAACGCCAAACGTCTCAACCATTAAAACCATGGAGTAATGGTGGCAACCTAGCACATTCTAGGGTTTTCAAGGGAAACAATCTACCACGTCAAGACGGATTCGACGATTCGAGAAAAGCAGATCAAAACGTGTCATACATATAACGTAGGAATGACATGTTCTGAATGTGTTCATTTTCTCGCATTGATTGTTCAGGCACCCCTGTGGTTTAAAAACTACATCAGATGTCAATAATCTAATGTTTCTAGGTTTCATACAACTGGTCCTCTGCACACGCACCACCCAATCAGCCGCTCCTGGAGTCCTTCAATTAGCCTCACCAAGACAATCCCTTCATTCAAGCTCAATACGTGTTCATAAAAAGGTCCCGAAAATTGACGAGCACCGACTAAACAAGTGACATACAAGGGCAGCTAGCAGGAGGGGTACGACATACACATACCTGAGAAGATTCTGCACGAGGTGAAGAAGACGAGGAGGTGGATCCAAAAAGTCCACCCGAAAAGAACCCTCCAATGGGATTCCTCCCCATCATGTTTCACATGCAATGCCTTCCTCCCACTCTCTACCCTAAACACAGACGATGCGAAATCCCTAGCAAGCTCGGGTTCCAACACTCTCTGATGATTTCTTAAGCAGAGGCCAGAATTTTCTTATCCTTCCCTTCTCTCTCAAATCCTACACCAAAGCTTCGACCGCACACGTTTCCAAAGGCTCCTCGCATACACAAAAAAAGAAAAAAGAAAAACAATTGTCCCTCTCCTGCCGCGACTCTTATTCTGGACAACACAACGAGTGCCGCAATGCTTCAAATCTGGTGCTCGAAATTCAAAATTCGCGTGAGATCGCGCAGCGCTAGTGTTACAATGGATCCTTACGATGCGCCGCAACAGGCAAAGAGAGAGAAACGACGAGTGAGGGTGCGAGAGAGGAGTGCGGTGATCGAAAGGATTGTAGACGTGAGCGAGAGGGGAAGCAAGGAAGCGTGCACAAAAACAAAGACCCCCCCCACCCTTCGAAGCCTCCTTGCTCTTCCGCATGTCTTCCGCATCGCGGGCTAGGCCGGGCCACCCACCGCGGGTCCCTCGCTCCCTCGCCGACCCGGGCTTCCACGTCGACCCGGCTTTTTTGAAAAAGTTATCCCCCACATGTAGATTCATGTAACATGTTACGGTTATGAAATATAGATCCACCTTTGATGAAGAATATGTTAACGGTGATGAATGTGGTTGGTTTTTAATGGTTGCAGATCTAACCATTAAAATGGTTCCAGAGCCAAAAGTGGAAAAATGAATCTAGAGGTTTTTTATTTTATTTTATTTTAAATTAATGATAATTAGAATGGATGGGTTATTTAGTAAAAACTTGGGTCTATTTTAGATTTCTCTTCATTTAATAATATTGTATCTCACTATAATGTTGAAAATACAAAATCTGCTTTTCTTAGTACATTCACGTAATGAACATCTAGGTTGAGGATATTTGCCTCTAAAACATTGGTTTTTGAATTGTATTTTAGAATAATTTGTGTTTATAGTTAATCTCTATGGGAGGTGCATTCTTGAACCTTATTTGTTGCAAGGATTTGAGATTTATTTTAGTTTTGATTTCCAAATCCAATATATCATAAGCTAATCATTCAATTTTTTTACAACATAATGCATATATCATCAAAAAAATTATCAGATTTGCAGCTTTAGGAAGTCTTTCTTGTATTTTTTCCACAAGAGCATGTGATTTTTCTTTTGGAAATATTCCACCATAAGTTTGAAAAAATTCTGTCTTTTCATATATTCTTAAAAAAATATCTTTTAAATAATTTTTTAATCAAAATATAAGTCCTATGTTTTAAATGAATTAATTAATTTAGATTTAAACATTATAAAAGTAAATAGATTTGATCTTTTAGATATTCAAATTTTATGTTTTAAACTTATTATAAATCAATACATCAAGAATAAATCAATAAAATAATTAACCAAGCTTTATGATATGAAAAAGTAGTCCAAGACATGTCTTTAAACAAATCTTTATATATATATATATATATATATATATATATATAACATATTTATGAAAGAAGCTTCTTTTAAAAATTCTCAGTATATCCAAGTTGATATTTTGTTTCTTTGAAGATATTTCTATATTTTAATTGATGCTAATTTTAAAGAAACCATAATATAACTAATTTTCGTTAATATTTCTATATTTTAATTGATATTAATTGATGCTCCAGCGGTCTTTCAACATATGATGAATGACATTTTCCGAGAGTACCTTGACGATTTTGTTGTCATCTATTTGGATGTTATTTTGATATTCTCGAAAAATGAGGAAGAGCATGAAAAACACGTTCGTTTGGTATTGAAGAAACTACGCGAGCGAGGACTATATGCCAAGTTGGAGAAGTGTTTATTTCACCAAATAGAGATAGAGTTTCTAGGGTTCATTGCGACTACGGAAGGCTTGAAGATGGACCCCAAGAAGATGGAAGCAATCGTGTCCTAGGAGGTTCCGAAGACGTTTAGAGACGTACAATGCTTTCTTGGTTTTGCCAACTTCTATCGGATCTTTATCAAGAATTACTCTCAAGTTGCTGCTCCTCTCACTCAGTTGACATGCAAGGATAAGTTGGAATGGGGACCTCTAGCAGAGAAGGCGTTTCAAAACCTGAAGACCGCATTTACTACGACTCCAATCTTGGTACATCCAGACTTTGCAAAGGCCTTCTATTTAGAAACTGATGCTTCAGATTTTGCTTTGGGAGCTGTACTTTCACAAATGGGAGAAGACAAGAAGCTCCATCCGATTGAATTCTATTCTCGAAAGTTCTCTGCTGTTGAAATCAATTATGAGATCCACGATAAGGAACTTCTTGCTATAGTGGATTCTTTCTAAGAATAGCGTCACTTTCTTGAAGGAGCTACACATTCAGTGATTGTATACACAGATCACAAGAATTTGGAGTATTTCATGTCGGCTCGAGTTCTAAATCGACGTCAAGCTCGATGGAGTATGTTGCTATCTAAGTTCGATTTTATTATCACTTATCGACCTGGAAAGCAGCAAGGACTATCTGATGCCTTATCGAGGAGATCGTATCTTGTACCAAAGGCTGGAGAAGCAGTGTTTGATCAACAATGTACGACATTGTTGAAGCCAGAGCAATTTCAGCTTTGCGCTACTATTATGCCAATTGATGCTGACTTCCTGAATCAGGTACGTGCCGTAACCATTGAAGATTCAGTAGCCATTGATATTAAGCAGCGTGCCAATGACGACAAGTTCAAGGTGGAGGGAGATCTTTTATACTTTGAAGAGCAGTTATATATCCCAAAAGGACCAGCACGACCCCGAGTTCTTCAATCTCGCCACGATTTTCCAGTTGCGAGACATTTTGGATTCAACAAGACCTTGGAGCTTATTTCTTGAGATTTTTGGTGGCCCCAAATGTGGAAGGATGTGAAAAATTTTGTCCTCTCCTGCGACATCTATTCAAGATCCAAGAATCCTCGGCATCGCCCTTATGGACTCTTACAACCATTGCCGATTCCACGTCGACCATGGTCTTCAATTTCCATGGACTTCATCACGGACCTGCCATCATCGAACTCATTTGACAGCATCTTTGTCGTGGTAGATCGGCTTACAAAAATGGCACACTTTGTCCCTTGCAAGAAGACATCGTCCAGTGAAGTCACAGTAAGGCTCTTTCTCGATAATGTGTATCGATATCATGGACTACCAGATGATATCGTATCAGATCGAGGAACCCAGTTCGTATCAAAGTTTTGGAGATCTCTCTTTGAGATACTGAAGGTGGATATCAAGCTTTCTTCGGCTTTTCATCCTCAAACTGATGGTCAAACGGAACGAGTGAATCAAGTCTTGGAACAATACTTACGATGCAGCATCAACTATCATCAAGACGATTGGACCACATATCTGCCGCTAGCCGAGTTTGCATATAACAACACCCTCCATGCGTCGACTCAATACACACCATTCTTTTCCAACTATGGATATCATCCAAAGCTTGATTTATTGAGTCCATCAACAAATAACAATCCAGCAGCTGAAGGATTTGCGAAACAACTATCAGAGCTTCAAAATACGTTGAAGCTTCAATTACAATCCGCTCAAGAATCCTACAAGGCGTCTGTAGATAAATTTCGGAATCAAGCACCTACTTTCAAAATTGGAGATAAAGCATGGCTTCTTCGACGGAATATCAAGACCAAGCGACCATGTGATAAGTTGGACTATCGAAGATTGGGACCATTTATCATCCAAAAGCAAATCAATCCAGTGGTGTACCGTCTGGAATTACCGGCTTCTATGAAGGTACATCCAGTCTTTCATGTTTCTTTGTTGGAGCCTTATCGAGAGTCATCTTTTCCTAGAAGAGTATAATGTCCGCCACCTAGTATTGAGATCGAGAACCACGAGGAATACGAGGTTGAAAAGGTGCTGGATTTTCGGCGAAGGTGGGGCAAGTTGGAGTATCTTGTTCATTGATGCGGCTACGACATTAATGAGCGAACGTGGGAGCCAGCTGAAAATTTCACTAATGCACCGCAAAAGGTACAGGAGTTTCATCAACAACATCCTCATAAACCTAAGCCGGTTTGACAATAGCTTCTTTCTGAAGCTTGCTCACCCAAGAATATAAGAAAGGGAGAGAGCACCACCAAAATTCGTGGTTGATGTAGTTATTTTCTCCAAGATAAAATAGAATTTTTTCAATAGCCATAGTTTGGTCTTTTGATATGGATAGCCAAGAGATAGATACTATACCAGTCAGATTATCTCAACTAACTAGTTCACGAAGGCGACCCCGAGATGAAGAACCACCTGCACCACGACAACAACGGAGGATACCAAGTAACCGATCACTGGTGATTGTATTTGAGTCCGAGCCTGCTTACGATGGTCAACCAGAAGGCATATTTGCAGGACAATTTCACAATGAAGACACGGAAGTTCATGCTTGGTTAGAAGTTGAAGGAGTGGGCCACTACCATTGGCTTCAAGGGCCGATGAACCACTTACCTCGTGAACAACAGTTGGAGTTCATAGCAGACGTTATGCGACAGATCTTCATTTTCTTGCGTTGGTACTGATTGACAACAACATTGCTTCTCAGAGACCTCAAAGCTAAAGGAAGGGGTGATGTTAGGGACATAGTCCTTAGAACCTTCGAGAGACAAGTTTCTAGAACCTTCTAGAGACAAGCTTTTAGAACCTTCTAGAAACTTCTTAGTTGGTAGAAGATGTTAGGGACATAGTCCTTAGAATCTTCTAGAGATAAGTTTCTAGAACCTTCTAGAAGCAAGTCTCTGGAACCTTCTAGAAGCTTCCTAGTTGGTAGAAGTTGCTTGAGAAGCTTCCTAAATAGGAGTATATATTAGAATCGAGGCTGAAGAGTTCTTCAGTCTCGACAACACATCTCTTGGAGCTCTAGCTCACCTCTCTGGTGTTGTTCTTGTATTCATCTGATTAATCTAGTTCTTGCCAATTCTTCTTGAACTTCTTGGTAGATATCAAGTCTGTATTCTGTGTCCGTGACAACCGGTCTATCTCAAGTCTTCAAGATCCTTCTAATCCGCAACCACATAAAACCTCATTTTAATGTATGACAAATTGGACCAAAACAAAATTGAATAGAATTAAACAAAATTGGACACGGAAGACAAAACTGAGCAACTAGAATTAAGACAAAATAAAAATAATAAAAAGATATAAAATCCAATTGTATTAAGAAAAAAGGTCCAAAGCCATACATGACCAGATGCTCCCAAAAGGCCTTTGTCAGTCCTATTTATACTTTGTTCTACCACCCTAGACTTTTTAAAATATTTGTAGGTGATAGATTCCTCGTAGATAACCACCTTAAACTCTCTATAAAAGGCTTCATGATAGGCCCCACCTAGATAACCACCCTAAGTCTTTTTTAGAAGGTTTTATGGTAGAGTCTATCTAAATAATCGTCCTAAACTCTTTTTAGAATGTTCCATGATGGATTATATCTGATCCACTAATATAACCTCAATTTTAGAAACTTCCATGGTTCTAACTATCTATTCCTATACAAATATCTTATCAATATCCCATTACAAATATGTACTTAAATTCCTTAAAGCTAATATGTATAGAAATCTTATCAAGTTTTAATTCAAAACTTACATTTGAATCAAGAAAACACACTCTCGCTTATTATAGACATATGATTTCATGCCTCAGAATTAGGTTTTAAACTTGAATTATAATTGATCCTTCTTAAGTATCAATCTAAGATTTCACTAAATATTTTTTACAAATTTCTATTTTTTATTTCTACTTAAAGATGTCTATAAGATTATTTTTACTAATTTATTATGATTTGTCTTATTTATAGTCCTATAAAATAAATAAAAGCTATTTTTATAAAAACATTAATATTAAATTATTTTATTATAATTTTAATTTTTTTTATATTTTGAAATTAATTTTCTACTATAATTTTAAATAAATTCTTCTATAATTATTACAGATATACTTATAGTTATCCAGATAATATGAATAAGTAGAAGTAAATAAAAGTAGGTTAATTTGATAATATCTTATAAATAAGCTTCTTAGAAGTTATATAGACTTGGATTCACCTTTAAACATGTCTATATGTGATTGATAGGTTAGAAACTTGGCCAACAAGTTAGTCATATATTATATGTATTGGTAGCTTGTACTACAAGCTAATAATGTGGTGCACATATAAAAAACTTGCTTTGCAAGTTAAGATATATGTCTCACAAATTGAATACATGTTGGAGGTCCTACAGAATGTTGCAACATAATTTTTAGATAGATAGTATATGTAGAAGAAAGAATGAAGCCTTCTTCACTCTTGTCAATTCTTTTCTTGCTTCTAAGCTAGTTTCAAGAGTCTTTAATTTCCTAATCTTTGCTAGTAGCTATTTCAATTTCTTATTAAATATATTTATTTTCTTATTTTTAGTTTCTTATTTCTCTTTAATTTATTTTTCACTTATTTATGTACATTCTTTGAATTCTTATCTTTAATAGTAATATAATACTTCAATCTATCTTTTATCTAATAATTACATTATAATATAACAATACTTATTCATGCTTATTTAATATTATATGAATATTATCTAGACTTAGATTACATTAAGTTGTGGCTAAAGATCTTAGAATTTTATAGAAAAAAGATTTGGTGCAAAATAGGATTTATAATTTTTAAAATATAAGTTAGTGGATTTTTTTTTAGAAGAGTTGTTAAATTGATGTTAGATTTTATCATTTTTTAAATTTTAATCTTATTTATTATTATTACTATTATTTATTTTCCTTTTGTTTAGTTTTATAAAAGAGAAGAAGGTTGATGCTAGTTACATTTTATAGCTAGATGCAAATTAACAAAATTCAAGAGTTTTAGTATAAGAAGAATATTAATTTTTTTTCTTTAAACATGGAGCAATAATACACTTTTCTTGGTTGATTGAATACCATAAATGTTAAAACTAAAAACCTAGATATGCTCTTATTTCCAAATATATCCACATTCCAAGATAAAAACTGATCATCTTAGTAAAACAAAACATCAAATAGCCTTTTTTGTGTTTTAGTGCATCTTATGAATAAGACTTAAGTAACTAGTGTCGTATTACCATGTTAAAAGACAACTATTTCTTCATAGATGTAATAATCAGCTTCTTTGTAGAAACTCAATACAATGAGTTGCTGGATGTTGTAGCAATTTAGAGCAAAGTATGTTGGCATCTTAAAAGCATTTGAATGTAAACATGTAAAATGTGGAAACAAATAGTGGAGCAAGCATGTTTGAACACAATAAAATCATTACACTATAATTCTCTCTAATCATAACACAATTAATCATAAAAATGGCAATCTAACATTTGTATTTGTAGCGAACTCGAAGAGGATAGAGCAACACAGACGGATGGATGAATGAAGACATAGATGAATAAGCGACAGAGGATGAAGTGGAGACCCATCCCTGTTTGTGGTGCGGATAAGGCACGGAAGGATAAGGGGGTCCTAACCCTGCACCCGGAGCACCAGCAGCAGACTTGGCTTGCCTTGCCTTCGTCTCTCACTCGCGTGAGAGAGCAGTCTCGGTTGATCGATACCAGGCCGCAACCGGTGATTTTGCTGTCACTCACACACACAACTAAGACAATGGCAGCTATGGCTTGCGCCTCTGCTCCCGCTACGGCTTTGGTGCCTAGCTCCAGCAGCTGCTGCTGCGGCAGCAGCTCCTCGTCCTCGCTCATCGGCACCCGTGTCGCCATTGCGCCGTTGCGAGTGAACAAGGTGGCGTGCCGGAGCTTGGTGGCGGTGTCGGCGTCCGCTGCTGCAGTAGAAGAGCAGACGGAGGAGAAGAACGTGCAGCGGCTGTTGGGTATTTACCAGGAGAAAGTGGTGCCTGCATTGCAGGAGGAGTTTAAATACGGGAATTCATTCGAGGTCTACATTCACCTCGTGTTGTGTGTTTGGGTATTCGTGTGACATTGTCTTCTTTAGTGAGGAAGTGGGGTGGGGTATTGTGGGTTGAGAGGATTTCTGTGTTGGTTCGCTGATTTGAGATTGAGGCAATTTGTTTTCCAGATTCCTCAGGTGAAGAAGATTATCGTCAATTGTGGTGTTGGGGAGGCGTCACAAAATGCTAAAGCCCTAGAAGGGACAATCCGAGACATTGCCGCCGTGACCGGTCAGAAGTCCGTCGTCACTCGCTCCAGGAAAGCTATTGCTGGTTTCAAGCTCAGGGAGGGTGTACCTGTTGGTGTTACCCTCACATTACGCGGTGATGTATGTTTCTAACTCGGTTCAAGCAACGTGCCTGTATTCGTCGGGTCTGAAAATTACAGTGTAGCATATTGGGGCATGAATCATATGGTTCTTGGAGGATTCCCTCACCCTAGACAATGCTAGAGGTTCGCAGTGGTTTTCACGTGTCACAAATAACTTTGGTACCTTAATTTTAGGTCAATGTATTCTGTTCGTAAGTGTTCAATCGTGGATAATTTTGAAGCACGAACATTGAAGGAGTTGGAATTCTCTGCTCCGACACTCATTCGATGCGAAACGGAATAGGTGACAACGTCTCGCATCTAATCATGTCTATCATACATTGTGCAGGTCATGTATTCCTTCTTGGACAGGCTCTTGAACTTGGCACTCCCACGTACTAGGGATTTCCAAGGAGTGAACCCCTACAGTTTCGACGGAAGAGGCAATTACACACTGGGCCTTCAGGAGATTAGTGTGTTCCCCGAAATCAAGTTCGAGAACATTGACAAGGTACGTGGGTTGGACATTTGCATCGTCACCTCCGCAAAGAACGACGCGGAAGGTCACAAGCTTCTCTCATTGCTGGGTATGCCCTTCAAGGAAATGGGTGGTGGCCGCATGTCCGCTTCAGCTGCGAAGAAGGCCACACGCGTGACCTTCAGGGGGAGGAGAAAGTAGAAGCAACAATTAGGTTAGATACAGCTTTTTTCTCTCGTGATTGATGCTCCACTACCTATTTCTAGGTTTTAGGTCTCGATTTGTCGATTTTTATCAACCTCATCAATTTTACATCAACAAGTCTCCTATGTTGAAGAAACCTTCCCACCTAACACACACGCTTCTGTCATGTCGAGGGGAAACATCACCGACGCAATAACTGTGTGATTGATTTCCCCCCCTCGACACTTGCATGATGCAAACTGTGACAACGATGTCATTCCATGAGCAGGATATCTGATCACTACTAACGCACTAGTCTGCGGGAAGGCTTATCTTTGAAAATTGACCCTCAACCTAAATGATCCTATGATGTGGAGTAATCGTCACAACCACTACCGTCTTGAACAAACTTGGTCTTGCTACGACCTGGTTGCTTCTGGCCCCATAGCTGCGGTGGATTACTCGCAGCACGCGGTTGCTTGGTGTCGACGAAGAGTACGTAGCGCCTTGCTTTCTCCTCTACGCTGTCTCATTTCATCCCTGGCGACTGTTTCTCACTATGCTTGCACCTAAGTGTGTTTTTATTGATGAGGGTTCTCTTGGCCTATTTCTCCAATCGTGTACTGGATTGTTTTCTACAGTGACAACTTTCTTTTTTAAAAGAATATGCTTTGAAATTTTTAGTTTTTGTATATTCTGAGAGGGCTTTTGTCACATGTTGCAAATCTCACACCTCTTTATATTGACGGCCTTATTTGTTTGAGTGCCCTATCATGACAACTCTACTGCAACGTTTCTTTGTTTTTATCATTGTAATGTTTCCATCTGAACAGAGGCTGTAGTTATTTGAAGAATTTTTTAATTGGTGTTTCTTCCAGAATTGTGGGTTGGTGAGGGGTGTTAAAAGTGGCCATCAATTGAATGTTGGAGGCATTCACTAGATGAGATTTCAGTTTTTATGGTGTTTGTCAAAACAGTTCATGGAGCATTTAAATGCTGAAATGAATGAACTTATCTGCAGTCTTCACACTTATTTCATACATCTGACATTCTTTCTACCCGCTTACATTTGTTAGTCTGTGACCCAACCTGTAAACTGAATATGCTGAAGTGTGTGTTTTATGAAAGATGTCATTTTTTTATGAGTAGAATTGAATAATACTAACAATGAGTATGCATCGTATTTCATGTTTTTGTGTGGTGACATTTTTAACTTCAACCAATTTTTTGCCAACTTCCCATGTAAATTTTGGAGCTCAAAGAGCAACCATTGAATGAACCCACATGGAGTCTATGAACGCTGTCCCATTTTAAGTGAGTGCACTCTAAATGATCCAATTTTATTTTGGTGTGAGCTTTTGCAGGAGCTCAAATTCTTCCACCCCAAATTCATCTCTTATATTGAATTAGAAATATTTTATAACTCTTTCACATTAGAATGTTCTTTGCTTTGGTTGATGTGCATGTGAAGCTTACAATTCTTTGACCAATTTGCAAAGATGGACTTAGTATTTAAGTCTTAAAACATGGGCTCCAATTTCTTACTTGTTTTTACATTATAATATTGTCTTCCAAAAAATATGGAATTCTCTCTAAATGGATATGTGAAGGATCTTGAAGACATTGGATATTTTCTATTTGCGCTTCTTTAGTAACAAATAATCTTCAAATTTGGAGCAATACAAAAGTCAAAACAAATGCTTGACGAAAGCTAATTTGGTTGCTTTAGGTAAATCATATCATGAAAGGGAACTCTTTTTATCTGTTTATCTTTCAAATCTAGGTTGAGTGTCTCATGTAAGTTTTGATGTACAAAGAAAGAAAACTACACTTTTTTTTTAAGCGTATCCTCTTTTGACTATATGTATGTATGTATATGTATATACATATATATTATTTGAAATGTACCTTTCTTTCTGTATTTGTTGTTTTATCATTTCAAAATAATATCTGTTTATCATACACAAGATCATTTTTAATTAATATATGAATGTAGTTTAGATCTTTTAAAATTGAAGTATGTAAATGTACAGTGCAAATGTGTTCATCTAATATTTTTTGAGTAATTGTTAAAGGAACAACATTGATCACTTTTGATAGTGTATTTCTAATCATGATGTAATTGTGAATATTGTTCTTCTTTTAAATTGCTGTTACAAATGTTTTCTTGTCGTTGTGCTAATTATTGCAATTACAATATCATTTACCTTTGTTCATTCTTGTCATTGTTCTATTATACTTTTTGATACTGTTGTTTCTATTACAATTTACATTCTTGTTTGTTTTCCATAAATAGATGAGTTTCGATTTCATTTACTTACTGCATAAAAAATCATAAAATAGTAGTTGCATGTCTTTAAATAAAAATTTACTGAACTTACCAATGACGTGGAATATTCTTCGAATGAAGATTTTCTATCAATTCTCTATTTAGAGTCTATGGTCAGTGTGAAATATTTTCGATTTAATAATGCATACAAAAATAAAAAGATGCTCTGTATATTGTGCACAAAGAATTGAAATGTTAATAGGTTTAAGGTATGTGGAGGTTATTATTAGATCAATTACTTTGAAAAAACAAGTTGTTATTTATCCATTGTCCTAAAATTGATGTCTTAAAAATAGAATAAAAAAACATAATTTTCAACACTCTAAACTACAAACACATTCAATTAAAGTTTGCATGATGCATCCCATGAATAGAATTAATTGTGTTAAATCACAATTCATAAATTTGTCATTTGAAGCTTGCAAGGTGTTATCCAGTCATTTTTTAAGTTTCAATTTAGTTTAGATTTTTGTACTATATAGTCGGACCAGATAAGCTTGCAATCACAATGAGATAATTACCTAACAGCACAAACACTTGAAATAAAAGTTTTAAAAATGACTAATTAAAAAATTAAAAAATTATATCCCTTGGATGATGAGGATTGAGTTATTTATAGGTCATGCAATCGGCTTTTGGCCTCGTAGTTACTCACATCTATCCCATTGTAAATTACTCTGTAATTTATTTTAATTAGTTGTAATAACAATAGTAATCAAAATCTCATGACTATTATCCACAGTTTAAAAAGGATATTATTTTTTTTGAGTACACACGTACATACGTTCATGAAGGACAGAAGTCTTTGTGGTTCGAATGGAATTCAAATGAAATGACAACAAGAAAACAATAAAAACAAAAAAACATAAAAAAATGTTAATTGACAAATGAACATCAACGAACAAAAAGATAACAAGTAATTATGAGTCCAAATTAGAGAACTAAGAAACTGGAGACACTCTAACTATGTGCGTCACACACACTCTCTCTCTCTCTCTCTCTCTATATATATATATATATATATATGTATATATACACACTCACATATATTTATATACATTATAATAAATACGTCATTCCTGAATGTAGGATTCAATTCACGTTCAGAAATTAGCTGGAGCTTCAGCGCCACTACCAACAAAAAGGACATGAGATGGTGATGACGAGGAAATCATTTCAATCAAGGCTCTTCTTTTGTCTTATCTTCATTAATAGTAGAAAAGAGAGCTTCAGCGCTACAATCGGAGCCGCAGCAACTGCTGCGTCCATCACCACCGACACCATTTACAGTCAGCTTTGTTGCAACTTGCGGACCTTGTGTTGATTTGCAGCAGCAGCATCAGGAGATGAGCATTTTCCGGATCCCAGAGTGAACGGGACCACAATCTTCCATCATCTCCAGAGTGTATGACGTGCTTCCATCACTCCATCAGCTCCCATACAATAGTCTTACTAAATATAGTTGTATCAGTTTCTACTCTTACAATAACATGTGAAGTTTCCAGCATGAGGAACAATACGTAAATGAAGTGACATAGTGACCAATTTCAGTCGATGTCTCTACGGAAGAGACATCAATTTCAGTCACTGTTTCTCTACGGAAGAGAGTGTTCAAGACAATTAGAGCATGCCAGTTTCCACCTTGTTTCATCAGGAGGAGTACGGGAAGCATCGGTGACTTCACATGAATGGCTTCGATTGCCATACGGAACATTTTGTAATTGTGCTTAATCTGGTTTGGCACTTGTTGATAAGAAGATTGGATGCTTTCAAACGAGGAATCCATTGGGTTAACTGATCAGATCGATGACATGCGGGAAACAGGAATGAGGTCCCTTACTTTCCGCGTATGTTTCACTTCCCAAGGAAAACAAAACCACCTGGAGAAAGCCTTTCAAAGGATCTGTTTGTTTTGAGCATGAAATGGCATCTGTTTTAGAATCTGATCATGAACAAAGCCTCTAGACAAATGAAGCATATGCTGTCGTTGAAACGTGAGTGATTACATGAAAATCTACAAAAATTAACATATCATTGCAAGCGATGCTGCTCCTTGTCTGTGGGTAATCACCGCTAATGTTCTAAGTAGCACCCTCGTCCCTAATTGGATAGAATCTATAAGGGTAATCGAATCCAAACTGCCGCTAAATCGTGGGTTTCTAAGCATCAGAGCCTTAGTATTGCAGCCGTCCTTATTGATAGAAGCCCACCCATGCGACGCAACGTACTCGAAGAAAGGCAAAATATTGATGATTCGCTGTCCCATTTACAGAGGGCCCACGTTTGTCACCTGTGCACGCAGTGCCCGTACTCCCACAAACCTCGAATAGCGTCTGGACATGCCCCATCTCAGCGGATATACTGAAAAAGCATCCTTGCGATTTCAGAAACTCCACGGCCTTTGTTGTATCTGCATGCTCTTCCTGAGAAAAATTGCGATACCACTTATTCCTCAAGCTTCCAACCAGGAATGAGGAGATGGCTCCGAGTAGACCTATCCATCAAGGCGGTGGAGGTTGCAATATGCAATGCCCTGGAGAAACAGAATGATGACATCGTTGTGCACCCCTCAGGCAACCACAAGGCATATCGCCGATGAGTGCATGCCACTCGGCAGACACGGTGCAGTTGAAGCGACCAAAACCGAAGAGTACAATGAGTGAAGCCACAACGTCAGGAAGAGACCCAGTGGATCTCAGGTTCCGACCGAAGTGACCAAGTTTTGACTTAGCTTCGAAGCTCGAAGCCTCCATCTCAACCGATTTGCCAATGCAATGTGATTAAGTAAATGAACAGCCCGAAAGATTCCAAGCTGAAACCGTCGGAGAAGCTCCTCGAGAGAGCCAATAGGGATCCGATTCAGAACAGAGCTCTTCAAACCATCAAACTGAAATCTAAGTAGTGCTGGGTGAGATTCGAGGAGAAGGACGACATAGCATAGAACTCTGCATACTGGATCCAGGCATCGCCAACAGCAAGAAACAGCGCTACGACGAGAAAGAAGAGAGACAAAATGTACGCCTTGAGCACCAACAATGAAACGTCGCCTTTCGACTCCAACTGAGGCACAAGGGCCCCCATCAAGTTCCTTTTTCCCTCCAACCCTTGACACCGCTCACGAGAACCACCTGTTTCGTAAGCCCAACTCACTCCGTCGAACCCCAACCCCTCACACCGAACTCAGAGGGAACAAAGGGAAGCTCAGGAAGACAATTCGCAACAATCACGAAGTGCACACACAGACACACAAACTCACACACACCAAAGGCCTCCTGTTCAGCTTCTTCTGCTTCTGCCGCAGCATCGAACACCAGCAATAAAACCAATCGGGAGGAAGATCCATATACACAGCACACAGCATTCACAATCCAAGTTGCCAAGCAGCCTTGACAAAGAAGCAGCTTGATGAGAGCTGGCATCCAAGCAAAAACAAGGAAGCCTAGTTGCTAGGGTTCCGTTCCAGGTGATGGGAGTGGGCTTTTGTGGGGCCATGGAAACTGCAGAGGGCCGTCCTGGAGGTGCAAGTGGGGCAGTGCTCTTTGGGGCTTTCCTCAGCGTCATTGGTCGTCAGAGGACAATTTCCATCGTCACGACCACTACGAGTTGTAATTGTTCACTGAGGCCAAGGGAGCTGCACCCTGCGGATCCCGCGAGGGACCCACCTCGGCCTACCACGCTACGCCTGCACAATCAATCGCCCATCCGCCGCGCTCCTATCTCTTTGATTCTCTTCTATTCTCTCCACTTCATGGTTGCATCAGTGCACACACTTGCAACTTCTCCTCATGGCGCTGCTCGCTGCTCGCTTGTATTTTACTTTTCATTTGTCTCTCTCTCTTTTATTAATCAGAAATAGAATTGGAATTATTGGAATTATTGGAATTGTTGAAATTATTTCTTAGAAAATAAATTTTAACTTGAATTTTTGATGAACGTAAAAAAATAAAAATAAAAAAATTTATACAATACTTTGGATTTAAGAAAAAAAATTCTAAAATGTTTCTTTTATAAATATTATTTTGATTTATTTTTTTTTAGAATTTTTTTTAAGGATTTATTATAATTTTTTATAAATATAATTTTAGGCTATTGTTTCTAGTCTTTCAATTTTGATTTATTTTATAGATTTCATACATCACATTTTTAGGATTTATTTTAATCTTTAAATGAAGGATAAACTTTGATAATTTCCTATAATGTATTGAAATTTAAATTTGTCACACATATACACATTATTTAAGGAAGTGATATATATATATATATATATATATATATATATATTTTTGGTTAAAGAAACATCAAAGAGGCTTCTTATATATATAAGTATGTCACTAAGTTAATGTGACTTTTCTAAGAAGTTTTCTCATTCTAAAAAATTGTTATGGAAGTATCATACAACTTAGATCTATGGTTTGTAAGTCTTGTGACTTTTAAGAAACTTCCAAGTACCTTCTTTGTCCACTAATCCATGTAGAGGCAAAATTGAGGTCATCTTTCTTCTTATCAACACCTTTATTGTTGTTGTTGTTGTTTTTTTTATAATATAAATATATATATTATTCTTCTTCTTAATACTATTAAATTTTAATTTGTTTAAATATTAAAATTTGAAAATAATCAAATTAACTTTTTGAACAAAAATGAATGCAATTTTATTTTCTCTTATCTACTTAATATTTAAATGGTGCCATGGTATACTAATTAGATTTTTTATGGCAAACAAAATCTAAATTCTTTTGTATTAAGTATCAAAACTTCTTTTTTTTAGTCCACACATATTTTGAATTCATTTATATTTGAAGATTTGTTTTGGTATTCACAGCAATTTATTTATTTATTTATATTTGAAGATTTGTTTTGGTATTCACAGCAATTTATTTATTTATTTAATATTTCTCAAAGATTTTTTTTATAAATAGGTCTAATTTTTAAAATCAAACCAAATGAAAAAGTACATTTACAACTTCTATATACAAATCACACTTGGATTTTAAAAATTAGAGTATGAAAATAATAAGCACTACTTATTCACTTATTTCAAAAAAATAAAATCTTAAAAAATAAAAAGAATAGGAACATGAATATAAATCAAAGACAAAAAATTTCTTTTATATGCATTAAAAAAAAAATCGTATTACAAATTACAAAATCTTTAGTCTTATGTAGATTACAAATTGTTGTAAGAATTAATGTTAATCAAATTCAACTTCAAGGTTTGAAAAACCCTAGGATTAAAAAATCTCAGGAATAAAAAGTTGAAAGCCTTCAAATAGACATGTTGGCATTTGGAGAATAAGTTTAGAAAGCCATGTTGGAATTGTAGCAAGGTGGGCTAGTAATGCCACTTAGTAATGCTCTAATTTAATACATAACTGTAATCATAAGCTTTCCATTTGGCAACGGAGGCAAATACGTTGTTGTAGTCGATTCCTATGATTTGCTAAAAGCCTTGGACTACAAGACAAGCTTTGAATTTGCAAGATAGGCCGTTGGCTCCTTTTTTGGTTTTATATACCCATTTGGTAGTTACGGTGGATGCTCCGGGTAGGAGCTCGCATAGCTCTCATGTCTGATTTTTGATGATCGAATCTTGCTCTTGTATTATTGCAGCCCGCCATTCAGAGCTTGAGTTAGCATTTGTGAAAGTGATAAGATTGGTTGGTTCCTTCGTGATGCCGAAGAAGCAGTCGACATTTATAGGATGAAGAGGTTTGACGGTGTCTACAGAATATGTGACATTGTTTTTGAGCCGCGAGGAGGGTTTTCTTGGCCAAGCAGGGGGTTGGTGCCGAGTATGTTGTTGTGTTGGGGCTGGATTAGAGGATTCTGATGTAGAATTTTGCAAGGTGTTGGTGGCGATTGATATTAGGTTGAGAAACTTTGGATTTGCATGTTCAATAAATTCTTCCCCGAGACAGTTGACTGGATTGTGCAGGTCGGAGGATGGTATGTTTTGGGTTTCTTCAATGAGCGTTGTATCGTGAGGTGTCACGGTACTTCCAAAGTGGTTGTCAAAGAGAGTATTCTCTGGTGAATGTAGAGCTGATTGATCAAGTTCGGAGGTAACAATCGCGGGACTTGTGTTGTTTTTGAGCCAGAGTGCCAATGAGTGCAACTATGAGGTCTCTTTAGATAGGATGGAGCCTTTGTTGAATCGCACAGTTTGGGTTATGATGAGTTTGTGATCCGCGGGGATCCACACTCGATAGCCCTTGGTCTAAGAATCATAACTCGCGAGGATGCCGATTTTGGAATTTGGCTCTAGCTTGGAGCGTTGATCAGGCTGTATCTACACATATGCACGACACCCAAATATTTGAACGAAAGAAACGTCAAGTTTTTTGCCAAAAAGCTGTTGGAACGACACTACATGAGGTGTGATTTTGTTGGAGACCTGTTGATGACGAAGACTGCCGTGTTGATAGCCTCCGTTCAGAGGTAAGATGGGTTCCAGCTTTAATAGTCATGCTACGACCAACCTCGAGTAGCTTGCTATCCCGATTTGTTCTGGAGTAGCCGCATTGGTGAGTTTGCATCTTAAGCCTGTGGATGCACAGAGATCAGCAAATTGTTGAGAAAGGAAATCTCCTCCCCCGTCTCTTCAAATGCAGTTGATCTTGCAATTGTGTTGGACCTCGATCATATTCTTGAATGAAAAAAATTGTTCATAGGATTGAGATTTTAGGCATAAGAAGAAAGTCCAGATGTAACGGCTAAAATCATCTACAATGACAAACCTGTAATTAGATCCTCCTTGAGAGGTAAAGAGGAAGGGACCACAGAGGTCGAGATGTTAAAGATCCAGCGCCTTGGGTGCTCGTGAGGTGCTGACTTTAGGCAGACTTGCACGCGTTTGTTTCCCCCTGATACATGCTTCACATGTTTCAGAATGAGCTGGGATGTAGGGGAGTCCAATCACCATGTTGTTTGATGCCAGCTCGTGAAAGCGAGCAAAACTGAGGTGCCCGAGGCGGTGATGCCACAACCTAGCTGTGTATAGGTCAATACTAGTTATGTTCGCTGTGAGATTTGGTGGATGGGATGAGAGTTGATACAGACCATTTTCCTTGTTTCAAAACCCCTTTGCTACAATCTTCTTATGATCTTTGTTGTACAGAATACACTTTTGATTGTCGAAGCATTCTATGATGGGGTGATCTGTGAAAGACCCGATTGATAAGAGATTCTTTTTCAGATTGGGTATGTTGAGAACTTTAGAAATTTCCTTTATTTCACCCAATGGGAGTTTAAAGTGAACACTATCCATACTGGTAATTGGATGATTTTGATCGGCAACGGTTTTAACATTTTTGCTAAAGTTCTCTAGGTTATCAAAACTTTGTGGTCGCCGGTCACGTGTTGAGTGGCTCCGCTGTCAAGGTACTAGCTGGAGTCAAGATGATGAATGTTCAGCGACGAGATTGCTGCTTCAAAGACCTCTTTATTTGACTTGTCAACGTAAATGTGGCGTTGGTTGAGCAGTCCCATGGATCTGGCCAATTTAATTCTTCTTGAGCAAAGTTTGTTGAAGCAAGTCTAATGCCTAGTTTGGCCATTCTCTAGGATTTAAGTTTCCGGATATCTACCAGGCGCTCAGGGCACATGTGCTTGAAGTGCTCCAGCTTTCCGTAGTAGTGGCACAGTGTATGCTGGTTTTGAGGCATATTGTTTTCGTGTCCCTGTGTGGTGTAGTGCGCGGTGCTAAAGTTGGGAGAAGAAGGGTTGGATCCCTTCATATGTTGATTGTGGTGAGTGTAGCTTCGGTTGCTGTGGAAGTAGAGTGCTTCGATGGTCGCTGATTTGAGCCTCGATCTGGTTTGTCGTCGGATTTCTTCAAGCATCAAACGAGATTGTAACTGATCCAAGGTGGGATATCCTCCACTACTGGTGTAGTAACTAAGAAAATAATCAAATGAATCGAATAAGGCTTCACTACTACCTACACCAAATCTGGGTCGTCAATTAAGACACCAATGGGTGAAAGTTCGGCGAGGATTTGGCAAAATTGAGAGAAGTAGTTCTCTACCCCTAGTGCTTTCGAGAATACAATTAAGCCAAAGTGGTTCTTGAGGTCAAACTTCTTGCTGTCGTTCGCGTTTTTGAAAGATCAATACATGGAGTCCCATAGAGCCGTTGGTTCCTGGAAGTTAATGAGGACATCATAAAGATTTGGTCAGATAGACATAGTTAAGATGTACATGAGCCGTTCTTGCCTATCCTCGCTTGGTTTGTCTCAATCCGTTTCTGGTTTTGTGGAAGTACTAGTGATTGGTGACAGGATATTCCAGAGCTTGTCTCGCTTAGCAATTCTAGTGATCATATATTTTTAGAGGTTGGAATTTGATGATTTTGCTAGCTTGACTTCATTGGGGATGGTGCCGTCTTTTGGCATGGTAAGAGAAGATAAAGGGTAATGAGCGGCACATAATAAACTAGTTGCTATGAGGATCTCAACTAGCTCTGATACCATGAAAGAACATGGATATTTGACAGAAAGGAATAACAAAAATCCATACACAAACAACAAACTGTGAATCAGTCCCAAGAACCAAAACATAAGAATGATTTATTATTTGAGGGGTTGATACATATACCAGATTAGTTGCAGATTTATTTTTTCAGAGATTGATATCCGAGCCCTTCCAGATGTATGGATATCAACTGGGTATCTCCAACAGATGCTTCAACATAGGCTCACATCTACATTTTTCATTCATTGGGAGCAACAGAAGAAAATGCGGCAACAGTTGAAGGACCTTACAAAGTTGCACAACATCTTGAAAAGATCATGATTTTTGAGCATTATCATGGGCCAAACGATTCCAAAAGGATTGAGATGAAACTCAAAATTGAGTCATTGGTTAAGTATAAGAGGAGATGCAAACACAAGATTTGCAATTGAGTCATCGAACCATTGAACGCAATGATCAGAAAACTTCGCGTGTGGCGAGAGAATTCGAAGGCTGAATCACTCCAAACATCTCTTCAGTCAGAGAAGCAGTTATTAGCTGGTTCTGTGCAGCATGTGGAAACATAGAAGGGATATCCTATGATTCTTGAGGTATGAAAATTTAGGTGTTTAGATGCTTTTATAGAAATCCAATTGAGTATGTCACAAATGACAACGGCCTTCACTATGACAACACACAATTTTTCCTGTTTTGAAAATAATAATATGCAATTAAATCAATAATTTGATATTTTGATTTCAACCTTTGCTAATTCATATTAAAGCTCTTTATATAATCTTCTAAGTATTGATGATTCTAGTATTGTGATTTTTTGTAGGTTGCAATTTTTTGTTGGTCAAGTAAGCTTGTAATTCTAATTATTAATAATATTAATTTATATTGTTATAATATTATTTTTAATTATATTCTTACTATGCTTAAACATATTTAGGTTTCAAATTATTCTACTAATTTGAAATATAATCAATAAAAGTATCAAACAAAACAAAATAATCAACTTTTATAGTGAACTTCCAAAATCTTCTTATCTAAGTTATTTTTATTTTTATTTATTTAAAATATTTATACAATATATTTATTACTATAATACCATATTATAATATTTTTTATTTTGAATACAATAAAAATATAAATCAAAATATTTTTTTATAAAAAGTGTTACACCAAGATTAAAAAATATATATAATAATAAATGCTAATAGCAATAATAACCACATTATATTATACAAAAAGAAAATAACTTAATATATATTTTAAATAAAAAACTTATCTTACAAATTAAAGACATGTTGGAGGTTCTATAGAATGTTGTCACGTAGCTTTTATTTAGATAGTAAATATAGGAATAAGAGCAATTCCTTCCTCTCTCATGTTATGATTATTATTATTATTATTATTATTATTATTACTACTATTACTTCTAGTTTAATTTCAAGAATCTATAATTTTATAGTCTTTGGTAATAATCATTCTAACTTCTTCTTGAATATGTATATATATCTATATATATATATATATATATATATATACAAACATATATATATATATATGTATATATATTTTGTCATTTCTTTTCAAGAAACATCTCACTTGGTTATATACATACTTTTATAATATTAGAGTTTTGTCTTTTTCTGATTGAGAGTAGATTTTTTTTTCTTAATAAGATATAAGAATATTAGAAGTTATAGATTACCTATTTTTAATTCAATACTATCTTTAGAATTTTATTTATTCTTAAATCTTATCTTTTACTTGTCTTAAGTGATATTAGATAGCTTATTTTTTTATTAGATTATTATGGAAAAGCTTATTCAAATAAAAAATATAATAACATAAATATAAAAACAAATAAAAAAATTAATGCTTATAATGCATTAATTTATTTTACTACTACAAAGAATAATAGGATTGGCATGAAGTGAAGATATAGAGATGATTAGAATTACTTCAATATCTATATCAAATCATATTACTTCTCATATGGTAGAATATTGTTTAAGTATTAGAAAACCAAGAGTTACCTTCATTGAGAGGTTTGATGCTACAAGATTAATGTTTTGAGGATTTATCAATCAAGTTAAAGTAGTGATTGAACTTCAACTTTAAAGCTACTCAATTCTACAATTACAAATCAAATTTATTAGAATACTAATTTTAAATTTTATTTTATCATTCTTTTCATCTTTTATTGAATAATATAATCCAATATAAAAAAATTTAGAGATTATTTTGGACGAGTTTTGATCCATGTATAAGAAACATGATAAAATTTGTATTGCAACTAATAAGATTCAAATTTTTCAATAAGACAATCGATTAATAATGTTATATACTCCAAAATTCTAATAACTTACAAATGATATTAAATAGAATGATGTTGGAGTCATTAGCCAATTTTTCAATAGATTATAAATTGAGGTAAAAAAATTGATACTGAACTTACTTAATTCTTAAACTTTAAGTCAAAAAATTGGCTTTTTGAATTTCAGTTTGAGAGTCACACAAGTCAACCTTAATATTTTTACAATTCAACGGCAACATCAACATCTTCTAAATACATATATTTGAAAATGGAAGAGATGTAAATTGATGTGATATGGTTTAAAATTCTTATTAAGTAAAAAATGACTTGCTATTGTTAAGAAAGATGGTGCTTATATTGTGGAGAATTTAAGTATATTATTCAACATTGTCCAAAAAAACACTACAACTACAAAACTAGAAGTATGGCTGTAAAAAATGACAATTTATTGAAAAAAGAGTTTATTCAGCTACAAAAGAGACTATTGTTGTGTTATGTAAAAACTAACTTACAAATACATTGGATATATAACTATAGAAGATAAATTGTAATTATAACATACAAATAACCTAATGATCCAAATAAAACTTAAAGTAAAATTTAATTAAACCTTAATAATTATAATCAATTCTTATTCAAATCATAAAACAATTATAAAAAAATTCTAAAAGTGTCACTAAATAATTTATGAAAAATATCAAAAAAATCATAAAAAATATTGAAATAAATCCTTAAGAAAATCTAAAGAATAAATAAAGCAATCATAATGAAATTCTAAAAAAAACTCTAAAGAAATTATAAACAAACTTTAAAAAAAATTATTTCTAAAGAAGTTGTAAAAAAATTTAAATTATATTTAAATAATTCATAAAATATTTTATTCAAACCTTAAGTAAATCTTAATCAAATTCTAAAATAATTCTAATAATTTTAAAAAAATTTTAAATAAATCCTAATAAATTTGAAGTAAATTTTAATAAAATCCTAAAAATATCTTACAAATCCTAAAATAATCCTAATGAAATCCTAAAATTATCTTACAATCTCTAACAACATCCTACCTAAAATTTAATCAATCTTAACTAATCCTATGATAGTTTTAAAACCTTATTAACTATTCATTAAGCAATTGATTTTGTTTTAAAATTTTTCACACATTGCAATCTAATAATGAATAAGTATAATAATTTAAAGTTAAAATCAACTTATCAATTGAGAGAACGAAAATTCTTAATTGCTTAGATGTTAACCATCATTCTTCTCTAATCTTAATATTGGTCTTTTAATAATAATAACTCCTTATTAAATCATTCACTTACACTCAAAATTGACAAAATTACTAAAAGATAAAATTAAAATTCCTTCACAATTTTTTTTCAATCCAACTAGTTTATTATCAAAGAAATTCTTATTAATCCTTGAAATCAAAATTTTAAAACCTTCATCCTATTGGATTTCAATAATTTTTTATTTAGCTATTAGATTGAGTTTAAATTCACATAAATAAAAAATTTAGACAAGTAAGTGCATAAACTAAAAACATTTCATTTATCAATATGCTAAAAAGCTTATATAATTTTTAAACATATAAACTCTCGTTTATTTCTTAAGAACCCATATCTTTTAAAACACCTATTACTTTGAAAAGCTCTCAAAAATTTAATTTTAATCCATATCATTCAAGATTAATGCTCAATTCAATCCTAATAAATCTAATTTTGAATATTATACTTTGAAAAACAAAAAAACCTTGATTTTGCTGTAGAAGCATGGTTTTGTTCCTTGGAATTTGATTTCAACCAAAATTCATAACCAATCCTCTCTAGGTATTAACATCTAGTTTTTTTTTTTAGATAATTTTTGTTAGAAGTAATTATTTATTATTACCTTTAGATACCTATAATACTAATAGTTTTGATCTATCTTATTTTTTCTTGTTTATAGCCCTAAAAAATAAATAGAAGCCTATTTTACAAAATTAAAAAATATATACTTAATTGAATTTAGTTTTTGAAGATCATGTGCACAAACTTTTTTACATAAGAATTTCATATTTAGAAGTAATATCTATAATATAAAAAGTAAATTATGGCTTATATATCTATCTTAAATTGTATATATATAAATATATATTATTTTATTTATATTTGATTTTTTAATTTTTTTCTAAAAATACCTATATTTTCTTTTTAAGTAAAAAAATTTATTTATTAACTAAAGTTCAATATCATTGATAAATGTGAGAAGTCTTAGTTGATTAATTGTTTAATTTTTGAGTTTTTAAACATATGACTTGGTCAAAATTTGATTTTGTGGATTATCTTGTAATTTGTTTTAAGACATGATAATAAAATAAAGATTATTTTGCTTATTCTAATTGATTTATTGTAGTATAAAACTTGCAATAGAAGATATTTGTATCATCTAATAATGGCTCATAGTCATTATATAATATCATAAATGTCTTTGATGTATCAGATGTTTGAAGGATGCAATAAATATTTTTAATAGATTCTATTTGTATGCAATTTATACACAAGGCCTTGTATTAGGGCACATTGGGATACATTTGTAAATACTATCATTTCTTTTTAAGCTAATGATATTTAATAGCCTATTTATATTTATCTTATTTAAGTTGGAAAGTAATGACAAAGTTGTTCAAATATATGGCTTAAATAGGATCCAATCTATTCATAAGAATTTAGCATCGGAGGTTAAAATTAGAGGCCATAATTAGAGTTAGTACTATAATTGTCTTTGGCCTCAAAGAATCATTAAAGAAATGGGATTGGGTAGTTGATAATAGAGATTATAGAACAATGGTTAGATTTTTATACTTACTCTATATAAACTTATTTTTTTATTATTTTCTATTTAAAAAATATATATTATTACTATTTAAAATACTACTCTATTATATATTTTTTATAATTTAGAGAAGTGACCATAGAGTGTCTTTATGTGTGAATTTCAATCTTAAATTTAAAGTTTCTCATGCTAATGATATACAATATGTATATTTTTAAAAAATTAGTCTTTTACATTTTTGATTGAATAACTAGAAGTAACTAATCATTTCTTATAAATAGCCAAGACAACAAAGCTGTGCTTTAAGACCTAGATAGTTAGTAAGTGACTTATTTCATATTGTTATTATTATGTGTATAATAGATGACTATCAAATTACATTATTTCTTTGTTGATTAGCTCAAGGTAGTTTATTTGTTGTTTTTTTGGCTAGAAATTTTAACTTTTAATTTTAATGGCATTTTTATGATCTAATATATTGATGGTTTTTTAATTATTAAGATTTCTATATATATTTTTATATTC